AATATTATTTTTCGCTTATTTTCGCTCATTTTGTAAATTGTTGCGATTTTTTTTTGGAAAAATCTGCGGAAAAAATCCTTTGGAAAAAATTCATTTCTAATAGATCAAACTTTAATTGTAAAATTATTTCTCAATCATTTTAATTTAATTATTGTATTCGATGAGTAAGTAAAAGATATAAAAATATTTTAGGAAATTTTTTCATTCCATTAAAAAACATCTGGTTGAAATAATTTAAGTATATTTTTTATGCGAAAAATTATTGTGGAAAATATCGTTTGCTAATTCTCAAAGCGGTAATTCTCAAAATTAAATTTTTATTGTACTTCTATAATGAGGCATATCAAAAGTTTAATTTGAAATGAGATTTATTAAGATTTTTTTGGTATTTTGTGTCGTATTTGTCATATCGTTTAATTTTTCACATTTTTATCATATCATAAAAATTTATCAAAAAAAACTTATCAAAACTTAATTTCACTTATTTTATTTTAATTTTACTTGGTAATTTGGCTTTATAAATAAATAAAATTTTTTTTATGTGGTAATAGAATTTCTTTCTCTGTTTTCCACAGTTTATTTTCTGGATAAATAATTTCAAATGTTAGTGCCACTGGGAAATTAAAAGTTTTTCCCGAATCTTTCATCTTCTTTATGAGAAAATTTCTAGAAAATTTTCATTTATATAATTTTCGCTATTTTAAATTTATTGCTTCAATATTTAATGATTTTTTATTTGTTATTTACATTAAACATTTTGTGAAAATTACTTTAAAATATTTTTCTTTCATTTATTTCATATGAAATACTATATTAAATATCTTCACTATTTAACAAAAGATTTAGCTTTTTAATTATTCATGGCGGAAATAGAACAACTCAGTGGATTGTTGCGTTCATTTCGGAACGTCGATACTAGGAATGTATTCCTGGCAGAAATCTGACCTACCTTACGAAAATCGCGACAAATGATAACATTGGCAAGCATTCACTAGAGTATTTCTATCGTTGAGTAGCCCAGTGAAAAAATTTAACTAATCCGATCAGTCAACGGAATAAACAATCAGAAATTGATAATTGTTTTGAAAAAAAAAAAAAAAATTTTGTTTAATTCACTACTAATTTTCCTCATCTTAACGATTTTTTTCAATACAACTTTGGTATATAAAATTGATTTTCAGTTTTAATTTTCTTTTTTTATTTGCAACAGGTGTTTAATTAAAAGTGTTAAATTTTAAATGAGAACGACTCTTAAAACTTTTTCATAAAAATTAAACAAATATAAAATTAAAATAAAAATTTAATTTTATTACTTGAAAAAATATTTTTATTATAATTTTTTCTTCTCGAAACTATTTATTATTTATTACTCGTAAAAAATTAAAATAGGAATTTTTTGCAAAATAAAATTTAATTAACGCTTTTTATTAGGTTTTTCTCCTCCGAAATCCTTCGAACTATGGCATTTGTAATCCGTAAAAATTGAACACATCCGGAAAATCTTTACTAGTGGATTTCAAAATTTTAAATTGCAATTATTCGTTTCCAATAATCGTTTATCCATTTAAATTGTCATCTTTTTAAGAACGTTCACCATTGTTGATTAAGCTCGTTCCATTGGTTTGTTGGACCAAACAAATTTTGCTAGGCGATCATTTGGTAATAGAAAGTAGTCAGCATTCACCTGGAATTTTGAAGGAAAGTTTTATTACTATCGAGATTAGAACGACAGTATTGGCGCTTAGAAATTACAGTAATAACTCATTAAGCTATTCTATCCTATGCGCATGCATTTGCATTGAATGATAGTTTTTTTAAAATTCCGAGTAAGAAAGCAAAATAATCCTCTGTTTGCTTCTAATAAATTTTTGATAAATATATTCGAAAAAATTCGGCAAAAAAATTGGCATTAAAAAATTCGTAAAATTTTAGAAAAAAATTAATTATACGACGATACTATATAGAATAATTTTTGTAGATTCTAAAAACGCATTCATCTTTGTATTTCTTTGTTCAATAAAATTTATAAAAATTTTACGAATTTTCTCCTCCTGAAATTTTCTTCCGGAAATAAATTGAATTACAAATAAATATTTCGTAGAAAAAAAATTCACTTCATTTTATTCGTAATTTAAAATGAATTCAAATAAAAAATACAAAGAAAACATTCAAAAAAAAAAAAAAAATCAAGCAATTTAAAGGGTTTTGTATTTTATTTAAATGAAATTTTATTATTTTATTCGTTGATACGAATAGCTTACTACTTATTATTTAATTATTAGAATTGGATTGTGCTACTTTACTTATTAAAATATTATTATTACTTACTAGAATACTACTTATTACTACAACAACTGCTATTTACCAGAAGGGTTTTCTATTTATTTATTTGATAGAAATGTGTTCGGTCTCTTTTGAAGAACAAATTGTTTCTTGCATGTAAGATGGCATATAATTTAAGTATATTTAATTGAAGCTAAATTGATTGGTAAATTAATAATAAATAATTTGCATTTTATAATGATTAACAACAACATCATTATTATTATTGTTATTATCATTATTATTATTGTTATTATTATTATCATTATTATCATTATTATTATTATCATTATTATTATTGTTATTATTATTATCATTATTAACATTATTATTATTGTTATTATTATTATCATTATTATTACCATTATTATTGTTATTATTATTATTATTAAAATTTTTATTAATAATTATTTGTATTTCATTTCTTCGAATATAATCAATGCGTTCTTTTCGAAAATTAGATTTAAGTAGATTTATCGAAGTCGGTAAATATATAAGCAATTTTATGCACGGGAACCGCTAGTTTTATTTCCACTAGAAAAGCTCTCACACGCTTTGTTCACAATCAAACAATTATGCATGGATCGATATTTTTACTATATTAACAATAATAATAGTGACCATTGACCAGTGGAAATCTTCGAAAACAATAGCCTACAAACCTCGACAATCAAACGATTCCACAAAATTGTTTTAATAATGGGCCAATGATTTAATGCCATATGGACATACCATAATTAAATACACAAAGCGAAAAGTGTTTTTGGATTTTATCTTTGATAAGTTTATAGATAGATAAAAATGATAAGTAACGGTATTGATTCTAATAAATTAGTAATTATTAAAAAAATTTGTGGTGTACTGAAATCGAAAAAAATCTTATAAGCTTGGCGAGTAACCAACCAACCTGTCGATCACTATTATATAAATATATATTTTTATTATATTATATATAAAATATTATTTTATTTCGTTCTATCATAAATTGGAAAAAATTATTAAAATTATAAAAATTCTAAAAATTCAATTATAATTATAAAAATTTCAAAATTTAAATTATAAATTATTGGAAAAATTATTAAAAATAAAAATTTAATTTAATTTTTGAAACTAAAAAAACTACAATTAAAAAAATTATTAAATTAAATTCTTAATTAAAAAAATATTTTAAAAAAGGAGGAAGGAAAGCGAATTGGGCTATCGTCAGGTTTTTGTCTTTTGATAAGAGGATATGCCATATAAATCCGTGTGGTACTGTGGATCCAAACTCTATTTTTGCACTTCCTTTCTAAGGGCACTCGCTAACAAAATCCTCCCATCTTTCTATTAGGCAGCGAAATGAATTTGTTTTTATTGGTAAATAGTTATTTGCCATTAGCCCTATTGAAAATAGGCAAATTTTACTTTAATATTTAAATTTTTCTTTTTACACTAATATTTGATTTAATTATAAATTTAATTCGCAGTAAGAAAATTAAAAATATGAAAAAAATTTATAAAATTTCTTTAAAAAAAGGAAAGAAAGAAATCGAGAATTTGAGGAATTTTTTTTTCAAAAGTCTCTCAAATTTCCTAAATTTCCAACTTTAGTCACCTTTCGTTTATCATGTTTCCAGTTTGATTCCTCATTTTTCAGTTGCCATTCAATTTATGGACGATTAAATGAAGCATCCTTTTAAAAATATCCCTATTGGCCTTCCGATAATGATTTTTCTTCTTTCAATCATCCATTAATTGTTGATGGATGTTTATTGAATCTATGCTTCGGATCACTGATTGTGGCATCTATTTGAAAAAAAATTTTATGTTACAAGAGGGATTATTGCTGATAATAAAATAAAAAATATTATTAAATATTGTTAAAATATCCTCTTTTTGATGGAAACTAATGCTATTATCAGAAATATCATTAAGGATTATCAATAGTTATGATTTATTTGCTAAACTTAAATTAAAATAGAATAAAATCTGAAGAAATTCTTTCCCCCATCTAACCCTATGAATTTAACCAAATCATAAAGTCAGATCCATTTTCGGGCGCATATTCTTCTATCCATTCTTCAAATCTCCAAAAATCTCGATTACTAACTTTGGATGTCAATTTTTTATAATATTCTTTACCATAAAATCATTCCACTTAAATGAGGGTTAATTTTTCTTGGGTAATAATTTTTGATAATTGCATATTACTGATGTTCCATATATGAAAAAATATATCGATATAATTTTCTTCAAAGAAATATTTATTTTTTCATATTTATTTTTGTATTTAGTTCGTGTTTGACTGTAAAACTTATATAATAACTTATATAAAAAAAAATCTAAACTAGTTGGGTTCTCTACGAGAGATATGGGAGTTTAGTTTGAGAATTCGGCCTAATAATATTTTATATGTTTCTAGCAGTGCGCCTTTCTGAACGGAAATTTATTCGTGGAATTTACTGGAGCTATTTTTCCAGTTTAGAGCTCACAATCCATAGCAACTTCTATTACCATTGAAATTTTATTTTGGCATTCGCTTTCCAGATTTTCAATAAATCCTTCTTTTATATGTATAGATGGGCACAAATAATTTATTTTTCTGTCTCATTTTTCTAATAATAAAACTAATTTTTAGGCTATTTTGTTGATTTAAATGAACAAATTCTCTATCCAGTTTTCTTTTTTTTTCAGCATTGATGGAGCAAAGTTTAAAAAATAATCATGTACAAGCATGTGATGGCGAAAGAATCACATTACATTGTCCTCGCAATACTTATATTATAGTTGAAAATACGTTCTATGGAAGGCTCGTGCCAAGTTCCGAATTATGTGCGCCACCGAAAGGCTCGAAATTCGAACAAAATGATGATACGAGTTGCGATGTTGTTGATGCATATTCGGTAATTCATAAATTTTAGTTATTTAACTTTAATAATTTTGTTTATTCTCGTAAAATTTTTTATTCATTAAATATTCATCCATTTTGGAATTTCACTGATCGATTCTCTTGGCTAATCCAAGTTTAAATCCAATTGCGATCAAATAAATTTGGAGCTAACGATTCAAACTATTAAAAACCGATTAGCTGTAAATTTATATGCTAAAAGTAGAAGATTGATTGGTAGGATTTCTATGAACTGATAAATAATGATATGATAGACAAATGATAAGTTGATAAATTGATCTAGGAATTGTTCAACCATTGATCGAATATGAAAAAATTTTATAAATTTTAAGAAAACTGAATGGTTTGAAAATCTATCAAACTTCAAGTTTGTAATTAAATTTTATAACTTATTTTATAAAAATTTATCATTATCTTTTCTTTTTATCGTTATCTTTTTTGTCTTTATCTTTTATTTTTCTTAAGAAATTTTATGGAAATTTATAGTAATTTTTATTTTGCGTAAAAGTTTTTCAAATATTATTTTTGCTTTTTTTTTGCACACGTGAAATCGTATCTCTTTATGAATTTTAACTATTTATAGTGGGTAAATAATTTTAATTTATGGCCTAGGATAGATTTTTTGAATTTACTGGCACATTGTTGAACTGATTTGAAATCATTTAGGTTCAAATGTTGCTAAGTTCAAACTTAGACTTAGTTTTAGTTTGAAATGAATAACGATTTTTTTTTGAAAAGTCCCCATCATTACTGGTTAAACTCACTCCACTGGCTTGTCGCATTGGACATATATGCCCAGGGAGTCCCTTGGTGATAGAAATACAGATGAGTCATCAGCATCACGTGGATTTTTGTACAGGTTTACGCCTGCGGGGAATCGAACCTCAGCACCGGCGCTCCAAATCGAGCAACAACCCACTGAGCCATTCTATCCCCAATGAAATGAAATTTCTAAATTTTCGAAAAATTTTTGTTACATAATTATTCTATACATAATTTTTGTAAATAAGAAAATAAAAACTTGCAACAATATTTTATATGATCAAATTTTCAACAAACTTGAATGAGCGAGGATTAATGGCGTTGTAAAATTCAATCATCACACCTGTCATAAAATTTAAAATTTTCTTGCTTAAGTATTACGAATAGCAGTTTATGCTGTAAAAATCTATAGAATAATTGAATTATAAAATAATTTTTTTAATTAAAATAATTAAGCGGGTTGAATGGCTCAATGGGCTGTCGCTGCTGTTTCGATGCTCACATACTGGGGTTCGATTCCTCCAACATGAGCAATCCATTTTATTCATTGGAAAAACTGGCTGATATTTGTGATTAACTTGTACTTTTATCATTAAGGAAAATTCCATTAATTCGATTTCCGATAAGATCAGTGGAATGAAAAAAAAACTTTTTTTTTTAAAACTAATCAAATAAATTTCACAATATATTCAATAGCGAAATTTATTGCTATGAATGAACTTCTTCAGGAAGAAAAAAAAATTCTAATCCGTCAATTTTTTTCTTAAAAATTCATTTAATAAATCGAAAATTGCTAATTTCATGTGATAAATGAAAAAAAAAACAAACCAAAGGTGATATGATTATTATTGTTATTATTGTTATTTATATATATTTATATATTTAACGAGAAAAAAAAAAAATTTAAATTTTTCACTTCCTTGGTCGTTTATCAATAATTTAATGTGAAAGGATAGCAGTTGCCTGGAAGTTAACTAAATTATCAACGATTTAAAATTATAAAAAAAAAACAACTGATCATACTTTTATGAGAGGAATTTTCTTAATTCTACTAAAAATTTTTCTATATTTTCTAATTTTTATTGCAAAATTATGTTTATTATTATTAAATATAAATATTTAAATAATTAATTTAAATAATTAAAAAATTAAATTTAAATTTCGTTTGTAAAATTAATGAACCAATCAATTTTGCAAAAAATGATAAAAATAAATAAATAAAAAATCCATTCTGCTAGAAATTTTAGGAAATTTGATTTTCTGTTCCGTGTTCCTCTTTTCGATTAGCATTTTATTGTATTAATGGTGCATTTGATTACACACACATTGGTGCAAGAATATGTAAGAGCATGAACATCCATTCAAGCAATAGGCCATATAATTGAAAATGAGCCAAGTCATCATAGAAATTTGGCTTGTATATGGCTTACTTATATCGCTTATGCAACTGCTTACCTAAGGCTTTTTGTTGAATTAGCTTGAAAACTTCGCTTATAAGACGATTATAACGCTAAACTTCAAATCTTATCAATATTTATTACATTTTGTTTTTCTTTTCTTTCCAAATATTTTTTTATTTTTTGGCACATTTGTCGAACATATGAACAATAAAAACTGTACTACTTGGTCGTTGCTAAATTATATTGAGGGAAAGAAAATCCAAAATTGCTTTGTGACTAATGAAATTTGGTGATAATCGACCACCTGTGTGGTTTCAACTCAATAGTGGCTTCAAATTTGGCTCTACAGTAGTTGCGTTCTGAATTCCGTAATATTTTCCTTTTCTCAACAGTTATTATTGGTTAGGCTGACGCCGCTGGCCTATACGAGCCGTTCCAAGCAGCTCGATCCAATGCCAAATGTGAGAGTAACAAAAGCCACCTTTTTTCTAAGCCCAAAAAATCTTTCTCACTCCCCGTAGATGCTAAGAATCATATTCAACCTCGAGTTTTGTAGCAGAGACTTGGTAGATTGTGGATTTTATGTGTTGGTTCTTCACAGCAGTGCGCTGTTCTGGATTGAAAACTCTAATGTCATTTCTAGAATGCTAAAGTTTTTCTAGTTTAGAAATTGCAGCTCCAATTAATACTATAAAATATAAAATTATTTTGAATTTGTTGTTTTGAAACTTTAAATTTATAATTTTGGATATTTCAGACGATTTTCGAACAATGCCGAAATAAGAGAAAATGTAAAATTATGGTGCAACCGTCAACTTTTGAGCATGATCCATGTCCAACAAATTATAAATATCTTCAAATTTCATACAAATGTAAACCTAGTAAGCGAATTTTTTTTGCATAAAACGAAAATTATTAAAATATAAATTTATAAAATAAAAAAAAATTCGTTACAAGCAATAAAAATTTCATAAATTCAAATGTATAAATATTTCCTATAGTTTTTATATATGAATTTTATGAATTTTAAAAATTTAAAACTATTTAAAAATTAAATAAAATATTTGAAAATCGCAAAGTCATAAAATTTTACTATAGTTATTTCCAAAAGGATTTTAAAATGGAAAATCTCATAATCCACCGGAAATCATATAAATTTGCCTCTTTTCGTATTACTTTCACTTCATTACACTCGACCTTAAACCATAATTTTTGAAAGCGGTCATTTTCCTACGAATAATTCAACATAACTTTATGAGTTTTTTCCACTGTCTTAGCCAATATATATATATATATTTTAAAGAATTTTCACCATTATTAATTAAATTCGCTCCGCTGGCTTGTCGCACTGGACAAATATTCCTCGACAATAGAAATACGGGTGAATCGCCAGTATCACCCGGATTTTTGGACAGATTTACTCCTGCGGGGAATAGAATCGGCGCTCTGAATCGAACAACAACCCACTAAAATATATAAGATATATATTTATATCTTTTAGCCTCTTTTGATGAACAAATCTTTTGCGAAGGTTCTAATATGCAATTAAGCTGCAAACAAAATAAACGGCTAGCAATTTATTCAGCAATTTACGGAAGAACTAATAGCCAAGCAACAAACTGTCAATCAAATACGCCTTTGATTAATGGTTAATTTTGTTGTACACTATTTTCTAATTATAAAATAATCAGTAAACTTTCATAGCCAATGTTGTTCTTCGATTAGTACCATTACTAACTACTTCTAACTAGATTTCGCTAATTACAAGGGTAGCATGCCTTCAAGCCCCTTTACATGCCACAAAGTATTTTTTTTTCCACTGTCTTAGACGGATATCATTGAGCTTATGATTTTAAATATTTCTTTTTCCTCCATATCGCCAATCTATCAATTCGAATAGAAGGTATAAGACAGCAAAAGTAGTCGCCATTGTACTGTATACCAGTATAGACATGAAATATTTTCTGTAATCTGAAATTTATACATCAGTTTTTGTATCACTTTTAATCACTTATCAATCACTTTTACTCACAACAATAGACTATACTGATAGAAATAAATCCATCATAATCTATACTGGTGGTGGTGGGACATTTCTCTCCCAAATAACTCCTAAATCATTACTTTTTTTTATTTTCCTCTTAGTAAATTTATTTTTGATTAGTTATACTTAAAATTCTACAGGCACAATATATCCCCATGCGAATTAATTTTAACGCATGAAAAATTATCGCTTATCAAAGTTTTCAGATTGTATTGTCGATGTACTAGCTGAGCTATTGTATGTTTGCCATGCTCGAACTGAATGCAACGTGGCAGTTAACGATAAATTCCTTGGAAATCCTTGTCCATATGGCGTGCGGAAGTATCTTAACTTAATCTATATGTGCGGTTCGTATTATATTGCATTTGCAAAAAAAAACGAATCAAAATAAGAGGAATAAAATGATAAAATAAATGATGAGAAAGTGATAAAAAACAAAATATCAAAATATAGATCTGTGGATTGTAGATTATTATGTTTTTACTTCGGAGTTCAGGTTTTCCTTCCTTGTTTTTTTCTAAGGCTATTTTATGGTTCAATCCACTGGCTTGTTGGACCAAACAGATTTTGTCAGGGAATCACTTGGCAATGGAAATACAAATAGATTACTGGAACTATTTGGATAATTTCCGAAAGATAAGTTCATATAAGTTCACTTTTGTCGGAACACCAAAACTCCAGCATCGCTGAACTTCTAAATTTTTTTTATTATATTTATTATTTTATTACTTATTATTATGTGGAATAAAAATAAAAACAAAAAAACGTATGAAAAAAATTTATTATTTTTTAAATATTTCATTTTTAGTTAACGGTGAAATATTTAGTGAAGCCGCTATTAAAGGAAATTTGGATGCAATGAATGAGATTGCAAAAGTTAGTTAGCTAAAAAGATTTTGAAAAAAATTTTACGCTAAATTTTTCACTCTTCTTCCACCGAACAAATATTCTTGCGTTAATGCATAATGAAAAAAACTTAAAAATGAATGTAGTATTTTTTTCCTTTTAAAAAAATAAATGAATAAAGTGAAAACTGGAAAAAAATAAAGAAAAGAACAACTCTTTAGCGGATTCGGATCGTCTCCTGTTTTCTGGATTGAAATTTTGAGTTTTAAAATCATCTCACTTAGAACCATTTCTTTACTTATTATTAAACCTTTCATTTCTCGACAAACGATTCATCTTTTGCTAATTTTTGAATTATTATATATTTTTTTAATCTATTATCTTTGATATTATCTTTTATCATTGGCTATTATATAAAATTTTTAATTCTAAGGAAATAAAATCGAATATATTCGATGAAATGATCGTCGAAGATCGAGCTGATCAATCATTCGTTGTTAAGGATCAACCAGATTATCAAAAGGAAGATGTTTCAAAAATTTCATCAACTAATAATGATGGTTTGTCACTCATTTTTCATATAAAATATACTTACTTTACAAAAAACTTTCTTCCTAATTCTTTGATTTTCTTAAGCCAATCGTAATTTGTTGCATTGAATCTCTTACAGCCAGTTTTATTCCCGATGATGATGAACTAAGACGATCATTACAAGTATCGATTGATGATAGCGCAAAAGATGATTATTCGAAGGAACTGAATTCAAAAAAAATTGCGAGTACCAAAGCGATCAGTTTCGCCTATGATCTACTTCTTCTTACTGATTATATTAAAAGTGCGTCTGTGTTGGTTTCACCTTTTTCTTTTCGTAAAAGAATTGAACATTGATGATTGAGTTGGCTCAATTGGTTCAGTTGGCTTGTCGAGATGAGAACAATTTTACTACGAAGAAATTTGGCGTTAGGAAAAAAAAGCGAGTCGATAGGCTATTCGGATTTTTACATTTACTAGTAATGCCGAAAATAGAACAGAATCGCAATAACGGCGCTCTCAAATACCCGTAAAATCCACTGAGCCATTCCACTTCATTTAGTGATTTTACCTAAAAATTTTAAAGATGATTTTTTTCACGAATTAAGGAAATATTTCAGAAAATAAAGAGAAAGTATTACTCTATATTATGTTGGGAACAACGACAGGTTTAATTTTATTGATTATCGCATGTTTATTCGCACATTTTATTAAAAGGAGGAAGGTAAGACGAAACCTAGAAAATCCAAAAACGCCCGAATTTGGCTCATTAATGGAAATCAATAAGGCCAGCCCAAGTAAGATCATTTTACATTCTCTAAAAATAAACTATAAAAATAAACTACAAAAAGAAAATAACCTTCTATTTCGTAACCAATTAAAAATTTAATATTTTCTGAAATATTTGATTGTTTAACGTTTTCGATTGCGAGACACATTTTATCCAAAATCGTCTACAAATGGATACTTCTTGCTTGGTACTTCTAACGCTTGCATCTATTACTCGTTAGGCTGACTTCGCTTGCTAAAAGTTTCCAATCCACTTGATCCCTGGTAATCTTCATTTTCAGTGCTTCGAGAAAGAGATAATAATCGAACGTGCCTAGATATGGGCGATTTAAGACTTAATGGCCAATCATTTATGCGTTTCTCACAATTCACACCACCTCGAGGACCTCATACACTAAATTCCTATAGGCACTAATGCTCTTCATACATTGTTTCAAAAAAAAAAAAATTACTGCATCGCGTTTCCTTTCTTTTTTGCTGAATGGCAAAAAAAAAGAACCACTGCCATATTCTGCAAATTTCCTATTATTCAGAAGCAGAATTTCGAATTTCTTCCAAACATTCCTTATTACTTCCTAAACTATCCAAATTTTTATTTCAAATTTTAATTTATATGTAAATAAAAAATTTGATGCTGCTAGGGGGCTCATAATTCGATTATAAGCTAATACTATCCAAGTGTAAAAAAATTTATAGTACGATTTTATAAAACCAGTGAAGCATCCCTTCCCATCATGTACTATAAAGTTTATTTTATTGATCTCTCCTCTCATATGTTTCAACTTTTTTATTAAAATATGAAAAAAATATGTTGATTTTGTTAAGAACAATAAATTTTTACACAAAAAAAAAATATTACAATTTACTATCTTCGACTAGCTCAGTGATCAGTGATAAAAAATAATTTTCTTCAATAATTTTTTTAATTTCTAAATGTAAATTTATAAGAAAATTTATAAGAAAAGAATGGAAGAAAAAAGAACAGAATGTCAAAATAAATATTATATTTACTAAAATTTACAATTAAAATAGCTCGTAAAATTATAACAATTATAAATTTTAACTATTATATATTGTTATTACTATCTTTCGCTCTATTTTACAACAATACCAAGTTAATACCTAAAAAAAATAAACACAAATGAACAATATCCATATTCAGCGATGAGTGAGGATTTCAAAATTTTTTGAAGCAATTCGATATATAATCCATTAATCTATGAAAACCACTTTCATAACTGAATCCATTCACATACTTCTGCGAGGCGTGTAAGTTTGTGATGTGCAGCGATACGAGCGAAAACCCGAATGTTAAATTCTAAATCATCTTTGGAAATAACCAGAATGTATTCGCCAGAACATTCACAAACTTCCGTTAAACAATCCCTTTTCACCTAAAAAAAGGAAATATGAAATGCGAAATGTTGAAGATTTCAAAAATTTATGGAAAAAGCACGAAAAAAAAATTACCGAATTGCAGCGAATGCATTTGAAATCTTGAAGAGTAAACGAAAGTAAAAGTTGATTGACGCGATTAACCAAAAGAGATTCCACTGTTTCGGATGAAAATTCACTTTTACAGAATTGGCAATTGAAAGATTCTTGACATACTTCTAAATCACAACACTGATTGCATGAGTTACAATAAAGTTGGTAAAGAGTGCATGAAACTCCGATAGGACGCCATACAGCTTCATCTGAAGATGCATCAACACCAATTAAACGCATTACTTGACTTTCAACCTAAAAATGCTATGAATAAAAAGCTGATTAAAAAAAAAGTTATATTAGTGGTATTAATCAGTACTAAAAATTAAGTTAAATTCTTTTTATTTTTAATGCTAAACAAATATTCGAAAATCTCATTTGGTCCACTTCAACTATAATTAAGTCAAACCAATAACATTCTGCTATTTCGGAAAAGACATTGATAATATATATATATTATAATATATATATATATATATATGTATAACACCTAATAAAGACCTTGTTAATTGCATCAAACACATCTGAATCGAGAGAAATGAAATGAATAATTGCTTTGGAAAACTGAAGAGCAACATTTTTCAAATCGTCTCGACCCATTACAGTCTTTGGCATCGTTATTTCATGTTTTGAAGATTGTAAAATTGATACTAGCTGGAAGATACGTTCTCCGACTTCATTTATGACTAACTCCTTGCGATATATTTCAAAATCATCATCATCGCACTAAAACAATAAAACTTTTTTCTTAGAAATATTTATCATTACTTGGACTCGCTCCGCTGGCTTATTTCAGATTAATTTCATTATTGGTCCTTATGCATTTGGTGATAAAAGTACAAGTGAAAATAAAACTATAAGGAAAAAAAAGATAAATATAAAGATAAATATTAATCAGTCAATGGTGAAAAATGATCAAAACTGATTAAAAAATAGCAAATAAACGCAAAAGCCTTTCGTCTTTTCCAGAAATATTCTAAAATTATATAAAAATAAAAAAATAAAATGTAATGATAAAATGTATTTATAAATATTATTAATGAATGAATGGTTAAATACCACTGAAGATAATTTACGCAATGTAAGAACACAATATCCAACAAGTATCTGACGAAATGATTCACTACAATTAGCATCTTTTGGAAAAATTTCTGCCATGGCTAATCTCACAGTCGGTAGTTCTTCTCCACTTTCTTCATCAACGCTAATTCCAATATAATTTCGCTGAATATATTTATTATGACCGTTAATATATTAACGATTTTTCTAAATTATTAGTAATTAAGTGGAATAAGTAGAAAATATGAAAATGAAAATATTAATGTTAATTTTTAAATTAAAAATTAAAAACTTACTATATCGGACCACATCAATATATTCCAATAGTTAATAGGATTAATGGAAAGTGAAGCAAAAAGAACATTTTTTTCTAGAGTTTGAATAAGAGTATCTACAAAAGCACGGCCAAGTTTTAAATCAGTGCGTTGCGTACAGACAACAATGCGTGAACTTGAAGCATAGATTACGCGACCACCTAAACGTGTTATCTGAAATTAAATTAAATAGCGATAGGTATAACGATAAAAGACAGCAAATAAAGACTAATAAAAAAAACTACTTTTTTTTTCAGAAATTTATACGAAGTAATGAGAATAATAATGATTTTAGAATAAAATGAATTCAAATATTTTTCTGCGAAAAATTTCGATTAAAATATTACTTCTGCAACAAGCAAAAGGCACAATTTGGTAATTAAAACATCGACTACGCGAGTGATCGCTGGATCATACAAGAGCGACTGTGGTGATCGTATCCATCTGAAAGTTAAAAAAAATAAGAAGTAAGGGCAATTCATATTTTTTCATTTTTTTAAATGAAAATTTTTAAACTTAAAAGTTTTAAAATCAAAAGAAAAAGACGATTCAGTGAAAATAATTATAGTAATAAATTTTATGTGTAAAATAACCGATTAATATTAACAATAAGCTGATCGGCGACTTTGTTCTTGTGTAAATAAATATCTTTAATGCATTCTTGCAGCATTAGCCGCAACACCTGGAAAAAATTCAATTAGTAATAAGTAAAAGTAAAAGTAAATTTGGAATGAAAATCTAAACATAGTTTAGACAAAGAAAAAACGGATGCTATAGTTAATTTTAGGAATGACATTGAGTCGGCAGGCTTGGAGGCATCTTATACTTCATCTTTATAGTCAGCGAAGCCAGCTTGACCAATCATGAGCTATCAATAAAAAAAAATGAGATGGAAAATTAAACGATAACCTTTAAGCAACCCGATACAGAAGCAGCTTCATCATAGAGCGCAATGTTCTTTGAACGTCCAAACAATGAATCTGTTTCAAGGATTGAGCCCGATATGAATCCAACAGAATCTGTTCCACCTTCAGCTTCTGCTATGCGACTTGCTTGCACCAAAGCTGTAACAGCGACAGCACCCAACTCCAGTTCAACGCATATACTTGTTTCAAAGCTAAAAGAAGACCTTCAAAAATCAAAAAAAAAAAAAGAGAAAATCTAATTAACAGTGATCAAGATCTATAGCAATAATAAAGCATATCCTTTCCAAACCTTTCATGATTTATAATCGCATGAGGATGATCTGAAATACTCATTGTTTGCCAGTCCGTACCAATTCTACCATCATCCAATTCCTTACCACCGAGATCAGGACGATCAGTTGGAGATGCCCAAAGCACATAATTATGATTAAGAAGATTACGCGAAAAAAATAAATCAGCAACGAAAAGCGAAAGATCCTCAGGGATATTACCGAGTGGTATATGTAAATAACGACTCAATTCCACAAAATCCTAAAAAGAAAATTCTTTTTGGAGGAAATCAATTGTTTTTTGAAAAGAAACAATGTAATTTAAGGAAGGATAATTTTCAGGAAATTTTTAGGGAACAAAACATATGATATAGAGAAATCATAGACGATTCAACAAAATTATATGAAAATTATAAATTATAACCTTGCAAGATCTTTCAAAGGAAATTACAAGAAAGAAACTATCTGCGATTAAATGATAATGAATTTAATACCTGAAGATAGATAAAGGCGTTAAAATAATGCTGGATAATACGTTTCGAAATAACTCGCCGCCAGTCAAGAACATTAAAAAGTCCAGGCGGTTCCTTGAAATGGATTCGTACGAGAGGAAATTCATTCAATTTAATTACTGAACGTATTAAAGTAGTGAATGACTGATTAGACTGAACAGCGACAAAAAACGGAGAAAAATCGGTAGCTCGTATATCGGCTAAATACTAAAATTTGAAAATATCAACAAATTTAGTACAAATTTAGAAAAATTTAATAATGGTAAATTTAGTAATAATTTACATTTCCTCTTTTTTTTAGAATTTCTAGCTAGTTCAACTAATTATTGGGGATAAGTGATAAAAGGAAAGTGTGGAAATTCTCCTGCTCTATCCACAATAATTTATGCAAGAAAGCAGAGAACTCAATTCTTCTTCCGTACTTTCAATTTGCAAATATTTTTGTCCATTAGATTTAAGTCGGAATCGGACATTTTGATTAAATTATACAATACCTTATTGACTGCGCGATGAGCATCTTTCAGGGAAGCAAATAGTTCAACATCAAATTTTACATCCTCTTTATATAATAACGAATAATTTGTATCACTCTCTCTAAAATAACGAATTAAAATAATTGAACCAAAAAATATCAAGAAAAAAAATAAAATAAAATAAGAATAAAGTAAGAATAAAGAATAAAGAAAAATTTCCAAATTTACCAAATCTGTCCACCGTTCAATTTTAAGAAATTAACTTTAAATAAAATTTACTGACAGCAAAACAGAAAGTGAATGCAGAATACTATTCACGTATTAGTTCAATCAATAATTTTTTAATGCAATCAGTGAAATGGCTCAATTAACGTCAGTTTTCGTCATTTTATTAGAAATATCCCTTCGAAAAAATCATTTGAATTTTTTAAAGCTAAAATATATTAAAAAATAAAAATAAAACGAAGAAAAATGTGGCGACGTGGAATAGATTGGTACTTACAAGCGAGCTTTTTCAGCTCCGTATAAAATGCCAACATTAGGAACACTTTCTAACTTCCCTGCTTTATCAACGATCGCAATGAGGGCCTTGCTGGCTGCTACATTGAAAACTCCAATTACACATCGATTATCCTGTCGATGTTCGTAATAGAAGATGCTTCGAATGCTTCTTTCAGGAAGATATTCTGCATCCACCACCTATCGACATTAAACGTCTTCAAAAGCGTTAGGTAATTTTTAAAAAAATTTAATCTTAATACATGAAATTTTTTTACAATTTTTAAAAAAGATGTGCAAAAATAAGATAAATAAGATGAAATAAGATAAATAAACTAATTAAAAACTAAATTAAATAAATTAATTAATGAAGTGGTTAAGGTTCTCCACTCGCTGTTGGTACCCTAATTTTGAAAAAATCACTTGAGAATAGAAGTATATGGACCGGGAACCACTTAGATTTTCTGATGACAAATCCAACAATCAAACCAGAACGATGGATATGACAATCTTAGCAGTAGCTGGCTTCTACTCTTTAAGAAATGTTGACTTTATAAAACTCACTCGTTCTAAATCTTCCAATGACAATGAATTTAATGAAGTTGAATTGGTCTTGCAACAGCAACCAAAGTGAAGCAAAGCTCGAAATTTTCTTGGCACTTGAGATTCGTATATTCCTTCTACACGCATAGCACATAATTCTCGGTTAATTTCACTTAAGAAAAAAATTCTCGATTAATTTCCTCATAGAATTTCAACAAAAAAAATTTCCATATTTCTCATAATTTAAAATTTCGAAATTTTCAAATCTTCAGAAATTGCCCAATTGCCCATATGATTTTACCAATAATTGAGAAAAAAATCCATGGCCAGTGACCTGCCATAGTAATTGAGAAAAACATTAAATTCCACACGAATAAAATTTTTTTAATGAAAAATAAAGTTTGAAATAAAGTCTGAAAAAAATATTGAATACTGAATATTATTCAGTATTAAATAAACAATATTGAATAAAATACTGAAATTTTTACTTGATACTAGATTCGAAAAGTTCTTCATCGACAGAATATTTGTATAGATTCAGTGATGGCCTCATTCTTGGTAAAATACGTTTGACCAATACACCTCTCGTATCCTGCCGTTCATGATCATTTACATAAAATATTCGTGGAATATTTACTTTCATCATCTGCATTTTACCACTGATAAGACACCATAAATTAAGAGAATTTTTATCATCTGAAGCTGAAATCTGAAAATTGGACAATGGATTTGAAGCAGTCTCTGTAAGTCTTTCCTTATATTATCTTTCTCAGACTTGATAAAATGCTCATTTTCAAAAAAGACATTAGCGACTGAAGAAGCATCAAATTATGAATGCTTTGGACCCAATTTTATGCCAAATGGCCATACGAAAGGCGAAATGGTAACCCATGATAACCTCATATAGAAATTCTAGCATTTGATGAACAACTAGCATCTTGTCGAATAGCTCTGGGGAAATTATATGTATCAGATGACAGATTTCCGCATGTTTACATTTACCCTTGCTTTCTCCTTAAACAGAACATCTCTCATGCTATTAAGGTAACACTCTTCGATGCCTACAATGAGAATTAATGCGTTTCTTGCTGTTTGCTAAGTCATATGATAAAGGGAATCAAAAATAATGACTAATAAAGATTTGGGATTAAAAATAGGCATTGAATAGGTGATTAGCGATATAATAATTTAGATAACGAAAAACAGAGTAGTTTCTTTTAACCATGGCCATAGTCCTGTTGTGATGGACCTATCTTAATAAGTAATTATGGAAGATCTATGATCAAAGATTTTCAAAAAACAAAAATTAACTAAAATGATCGAATCATCAAAAACATTTATCATAAAAAGAATAACCCTTATGATTTGCCAAATCGAGCTAAGCACTGTACGACGATAATTTAGAAGCACAGACTGCATACCATGTGTCGACTTAGTAACGTAAGTAGAACGTTTTCTCTCTTCTTTTTCTTTCTTCCACTTTTTTTTTAAATATCTTCAAAATTCCAAAGATTTTTAAAAATTATATCTAATTTTCAACATTTAACAAATAGAACTTTACTCTCCCATATCAGTAAATCAGTAAATAAAAAAATTAGATAAAAAATAAAATGCAATGTTCTTTTCACTGTCCTAGTTTTAGTATATATTCATCCGAATGATAGCTGGTTATAAAAAAATCGATTTTTTTTTTAACAGGAACTATTATGACTTGGGAATAGAATGGCTCAATGGGTTGTTACTCAATTCGGAGCACTGATACTGAGGTTCTATTTCCCGCAGGAAGAAAACTTGTCCAAAAATCCAGGTGATGCTGGTGACTCACCAGTACTTTTATCGCCAAGAGAGTCCCTGGCATATCTGTCCAATGCAACAACCTAGCGAAGCGAGTGTAACCAGTAATGGTAAGGAATCTTTAAAAAAATGTCTTTATTAATTAAAAACTGACTGAATCCATTCAACAACTCCATGCTCCACGATAGTTTTCTTAATAAGCTCATCATTAGGCCGCAATCGCTTCGATTTGTTACATAATTCCTCCAAATTCACTGAATCATCAATTTTTGATGTTTTTGCCCTCTTCCGTAACGTAACCTTTAAATTAGTTCCTTTATACAAATCGAAATCGATAAGTAAAATTTTTTTCACAATATTATAAATATACAAATAAAAAGTGGAATGATTTATTTAACCTCATTGAATGTAGAAACGCTATTTGCAGACTCGAGATTTTCATTAGAATTATTCCCAACAGAACTTTTGGCAGAATCCTCTATATCTTTTGGTGTCCTTTTGAATAGTTCAGTTATTTTCCTTTGTTTGCAATCACTTTGCCGCACTCGACAACGATTTTCTAGCCATTCCGGATGAGCGATTCGCGGAACAGGATTTGGAATATTTTGAAGAGCAGCTGGAATAGTAATTATCTTTTGAACCGTTCCACCAAATCTTTCAATATAATAATCCCAATCGATTATCTGAAAACATGGTTCATCATATTGCATGCAATAACTGGATTAATTAAAAATTTGATGAAATGGAGATGAGGATGAAAAAAAGGCAAAGTAATGAACATACATTGCGTATATTTAAATTATCAATCGAGATCTCAGAATCTTTTGTCCATTTACGCAAATAATGAACACTTATAGATTCAGATGCTTGAAATATTGCAAGTGGGATTGCACGTTCAGCGACCGGTGCACCAATCGGCTTTCTCGATATTATAAATTTGCACGCTAATCCAGCATCTTTTACCATATCATCACCCAAAAACTGAAAATAAAGGGAAAAATAATCAGAAATAATCAAAAATGATTAAATAGAATAAAAATTGTATAAAATACCTCCGATTTCGAAATATCAAATATCACGTGACTTTTTTTTCAGATTTTCTTGAAAATGAAAATTATAAAACAGAACATTCGCAAATATTTCTAAAAAGAAAATAAAAGAAAATTAACCTCTGCCAGCCTCTTAGCCGTGGAAATAGAAGTCGATTTTTGATTCCCATAATCATCCAGTTTCTTGGACATACTTCTATTTTCAGATATTAAATCAAATAATTCCGAATCAGGTAGATCCAAACCCTGTAACTTCGAATACCTCATACTTCTGCATAAACCATTATCTTAATAATTTAAAAAATCCACAAACCTTCGAAAAGAGCACATCTAACCAATAATTAGCTTCTGCTGCAGCACTTTCATAGGCTTCTTGAAGGCTTTTCCCAGCAAGAAATGCTTTAAATACAGTCGATTGGAAATATTTTATTAATGCTAATTCTCCACGACGTTTAACTTCAAAACCCTTCAACTCTGCCAATGATCCATCGAAATTGAATACGGCATACCTATAGCCAGTTAATACAAATCAAATTTGTTAAATAAAAAATTACAAATAAATAAATAAAAAAAATTTGTTAAATAAAATGCAGATAGGATGAAGATATAATTTTTAAAAAAAACCTTTTCTTGAGACGTTTTCCTTCTTCTCTAGAAGCAGGCAAAATCATAGCTAAATAAGGACCATCAACTTCGAAAAATATAGAATTTTGTGTAGTAATAATGCATTCACCATCAGGTTTTATTTCATGATATTGATTATTCGCAAATTTACCACGAATCAATGCATTTAATATCGCTCCAGGATAAGATATTGTTACCTGAAGTTTACCTTCGATTATTGTGATGATCCACTGTATTGATGACTATCAAAAAATTAATAATAACAATAATAATAATAGTAAAAACATTAATAATAATAGTAAAATAATTAACAATTAAAAAAAATAATAAATAGTTTTGCATTAATGGCTATAATGACAATTAGGCAAGGAATCTACAGGATTCATAGCAAATCACCATTAATTTCGATATAAGTTTCAACTACTTTCAAATTATAAAGAAAATGTACCAATTTCTGATTTGTTTTTAATGTGAAGGATAGATTTTCCGGGAAAGATTCTGGAATTAGGCACCAAATTCCATCAGTATCCAATTCTAGCGCTTTTCCAATCCGTTCGACTAACTTACGCGCCTCTGTGATAATATTGGCGCCGGTATGGCAAACAATTCCAGCCATTTCCATAGAAAACCATCGCGACCCTATAATACAAAATAGATCGATACAAAAATGATCTCAACTCAAATTTCCTCAATATTTATAAAAATTTTAAATTTGTAATTTGTAATTTACTAGTTCTAAAAAAAATTTACCTTTGCGCATAACATATCCGTAGAATGAATTCAAAATACATTTGTATGCAATCTGAAGGCTTTCATAAAGAATAACACGATTACGGGCACTCTTCACTGCAGCTATATCATCCTCAGGTATTTCACTTAATGCTATTTTAGCCTTCTGGAATTCATTTAAGTTAAATTTTTAATTTAGATATAGATTTTTTAAAAGAAAATGCAACGACTCAATTTGGAATATTCGAAAGTATATGGCTTATAATATATGGCTTTAAAATTATTTTAAGAAGATAATAAAACACACAAGAAATTATTATTCCGATGTGCATTACGAAATGCATTATATGCATTTTACACTGATATCTTTTTGATAAATTCACAAGCATAACAGAGTGGCTCAGTGGATTGCTGCTCAGAGTTTAGAGCGCTGAAATTCTACCCAGGAGAAAAAAACCTATGCAAAAATCGGGGTGATGCTGGAGATTCATTTGTACTTCTATCGCCAAGCGACTCCCTGGTGATGGTAATGCAAAATCAAACTTTATTACTTCACCAGTACGACACTTACTTATGTTTTATATGTTATATGTTATATTTATGTTTCTCCTTAACTAATGTTAATATTAATGTTGTTCAATATTTTTTTAAAAAAACAGAAGGGCTATTCATGATATCAAAACTCAAAAACTCATTCTATCAACACAATTAATATTATTTATTTTCAGTATATGCTAATATCCGAACTTAGCATTACTGCCTTGTTTGATTTATTTATAAATCAAAAAAAGATACAATGAATTCACCTTGAGCAATGCTTTGTATTCATATCGCAAATCGCGAAACGCTTTTACGGTATCAACATAAAACGCATTTTCACGTTGGCATATGGTTGAATAACGATTTTCTGTCCTAGTCATATGTATTTTTCCATAAGCTCGTTTACAAAAATCTGTAAATTGTAAACGTTTAAAATCTGTAAATATTTAATTCTACTCCTAAGATATACAAAAATATATATTACTTTAAAAAAAATTACCTTGAATTCGTTGTTTTTCAATTTTAGCCCTTTGCTCACGATCAAGTAAATGAAACGGCTTCGGTGGTTTGCCAAATTTTTCATTTTCTAACTGTTGCATTATCCTTTCGTATTCACCTCGGGTTGCAGTTACTACAAAAGATTGTATACGTCAGCATGGTTGGTCAAAAAAAGCGATTTCAAAGACTTTTTTTATCTACTTTTACCGAAGATAAATCACTAGATCACTATTCTTTTCTATTCTTACTTTTCCTTTCATAGCCTCGCTAATAAAAGGACCCATTCTAGGAACAGAAATTCTACATATCCCGATATATTTCTCGGGCAGTCCCTGAAAATTCGAATATTTTCAAATTCATCAAAACTTTACCTTGACACTTTTAGGCTCATTCTTTTATAAACACATAAGTAGCCTAGTGCAATAAGTTAATTAACATTCAATATATATTTTTACTATATATTTATTTTTTGCTTATATTTTTTTCTATTACTTATTGCTTTCTTTGATTTCTTACTTTCTGTCATTTTTTTGGAAAAAAGCCAATAAATTAAAAAATAAAATTGAAAAAATAACATATTTCTCCACGCCATTCCCACTGCATTGTTCGTTTGCACTTCGCATCTGATTTATTATACGCGCAAGCGATGCAGTCCTCTTCAGTGACTACGGCTGATGGCTAGAATTTTAGCAACCGAATTAAATGAATAAAAAAAAATTGTTGATGCATAATTCCAGTTCGGTATTTGTAAATTTAGAACTGAATATAACTGAAAACCTGAAGGCGATTTGTAAGAATAATGTTCGGATACATTGCTCCAACATCAAGATGATAAATTTTCGGTTTTTCAAGTCGCATTGGGCGATTTATAAAATCATCCAAACAATTTTCGACCTGGAAAAGATTAATAGAAAATGCTTAAATAAGATTCGATTTAAAATTTCTGTTAAATTTTAATATCAAAATTTTCCCGCAAATAATAGAATCAATATTGTAATTTAAAAATATGCAAAATATGCAAAATCAGCAAAAACTTACATTTTCACAGACTTCATCAAAATTCATCACGTCTTCCACGTTTATGTGTAACTCTAATGCTAACGTATCGTGTAAAGCTCTTTTAACATCCTTTTTAAGTTCGTAAATCGTAGCGGGATTAACACGAAATCTGATCAAATTTAAAAGATGTTTAAATATTTAAAAATATTAAAAAACAATTAGTAAAAATTAATAATAAAAGCTATAAATAATATAAATAATTTTAAGCGAATCATAAATCTGGAATAAGATTCAAAAATTTAATAACTTTATACTTTTCAGGTATATCAGCGCGAAATACACCAGATTCCAATGCCTCCACATGTCCACCAACATAAGTTTCACTTTGAGTAATATGACCATCTGATGTCAATTTACTGGTCTGGTAAAGTTGCTTATTAGGGAATATTATATTGTTACAATAGGCTCTGACCAATAAAAGCGCTTCACAGAGTGTTCCAGATCCTTTTCGAAGAACCTTAATTACTTATTATTTCACTTAAAATTTTCAACAGAATTCAATCAAGATAAAAATATAATAAATCAGAAAAAATTAACGATTAAGAATTCTCTCTAAAATCAAATTTAAAAGTTAAAATTTAGAATCTAAAAAAAAAAAAAAGTACTTCATCTGGACTCAAAGGTATGATTGTGCATAAAGCAAAAATGAAAGGATGAACATATTTCATATATAAATAGTATGTTGCAACAGCATCAGATACTGAATAGTTAGCCAATATCTACAATTTATATGAATTGACAGATGATTATCGAGTCTATTTATCAATAATAATTGACAAGAAATCATGAAGGGAAAAATCAAAAATTTACTTGAGGTTGCTGTTTTGCCATAATGCACATTTGTTCAGGATCAAGTTCCAACGGATCATAACTGAGTTTTGCCTTCGTACATGCCTTCAAATTATGACTTCCAACTGGCAAGTAACTATCACGTTTAACCCATCTAAAAATCAGAATAATAATTTTTTACTTTATTAACAAAAATTAAAATTTTTTTATCCCCTACGGGCAGTTACTCAACCTTGGGTCCTCTAGAAGCCTGAGGGAGACCGTGTGCAGTATTTTGGCTATTTCTAATGGTCGCTCTTCTGGACAAAGGTCTCTGATGGTGTTGTTCCTGGAATTTGCCAAATCTAGTTAAATTATTTATTGTATAAATGTATTATTTTTATTTATTTTATATTATTTATATTATTTAACTCTATCACTATTTTTACCCATTATGTTGTTCTTCTATATTATTATTATATTATATATATTATATTATTATATTATATACATATATGTATATATATATACATATTTATTAAATATATTTCACTTTCGAGTAAACAATCAGAAAAGAAATTTTTCGATTTATAAAAATGACGAATTTATTAAAAGCAAAAATGTATACAGTTTTACAATTTTACAGTTACAGTCTTTTTACAGTTTTTTAAAATCTATATTTAAAGAAATCCTTCGCTTTTATAAAGATAGACTATAAACTTCACTAGAATATTATATAAATTTCAAATGAATATTTAATGAACTTAACTGAATGCATCCATATGGACAGCATTCGTACTCTTATATTCGCCAGCAGAATTTTTATAAAATCCAATTTCATTTCGCATGTCAAAACCATGAAATGTTGCTCTGTCTTCTAGAAATGGCCTAAATAAAAATTAAAAGTTATTAAAAGTTTAAAACAAAAAAACCGAGCATAAGAAAAAACTTGAACCGATTTTTTTCAGATTTCCAAGATAATCTATATTTTAAAAAAAACTCCATAACGACATAATAATTGCTAGAATGATAGAAAAATAACCTCGGAATATTGAGTATTGCAATATTAATGAGATAATGATAAAAAATGCCTTTTCTTAATTATAATTATGCAACATACCAATCAAAAGAATCACCATTATAAGTGACAAAGACAGAAGGTTGCGTCTGGATGATATGATCAAAAAAACATTTGATCAATTCTTTTTCGTTAGCAACATTAAAAACATGAAAAGGTCCCTGAAAAATCAATAGGTCTTCGATGCATTTCAAGTAAAAACTTTTTGTTAATTGACGCTTTAAAAAATCTCATCTAAAAAAAAACGTGGTTCAAATATCTAAAAATAAATAGAAAAATAACAAACATTATATTCTGGTCTCGGCGTATATTCGAAGTCTTCCACATCTGCGGAAACAATCTGCCTATTTACGATTAAATAGCCTTGCCCGGAAATCATATATGACACCATCATAATCTCATCAACAGAACTATCAGGAAATTTTAGAGGCAATTTGGTTACTTCAATATCGTAAGCGAGAATTCTTAAATCAGGTTGATCTATAAGTGATGGATAAGGAATGATAGAAGGACGTCGATTTATATTTCTACCAACCACTTCATACCACTGCCCAACAAATATTTTTTCATCAATACAGACACGCATTTGATACGGTAAATCATGTTCTCTAAAAATATTTAATTACATCAAATCAGCAAATAAATTAGGAATATAAATGTAACCAACTTCCGCTTAAAAATATAAAAATATAAACAATATAAACAATAAAATAAGCATTATCCATTACTTCAAGAAAAAAACAACAGATACCGTATATCAATTATTTTTTCCAATGTTTCACTATCAGCTAATTCCGGTCGACCAATACCAAAATGTCTGAATTGAAAATCAAGTTTAATTTATCCAAAATAATAAAAAAATTTGCAAAGAATATCGTAAAAAATGAACAAACTTTGATAAAAGCGCTGTATATGAGGAGACATTTTTTTGTCGTTCTTGATTTCTTTTTATTATCGGATTATATTCTTTTTTGAATTTTATAAGCTCATTCAAACTCGGAAATGTTATTCTCAAATATTTCTGCTTCAAGCCAGATAAATGATTTTTCTAAAATATTTGAATCAATATTACCTAACGTTTGAATGCTTCTCTATACTTTCCCAAAAATGCAAAAGATATTTAACAAAGATATATATATTTAATATAAGATATTTATATTTAAGATATATTCTACGCCAAAATCAAAATAGTAATTACTAGATTTACTAGAAATTATATAGAAAAAAACATAAACCCACACAATTATTAATTAATTTATTGATTTCACTAACTTTTATTGAATTGCAACCTATTTAGAGAAGAAAAATATGAGAAAAAAGAACTAACGAGGTCTAAATCTTCTTTTTCCACGATCTCACATGTTATTATGCCACTAAATTTTTTATTTAGATATGAAGATATATGATGTTCAAATGAAGGCAAAGTCGCCAAATATAAATAGGGTCGGAACGGATAAGATATCTGAAAAATACTTTGCTACCCAAATACTTATTCAGCAAAAAAATAGTAAATAAATTATGAAAACAAGAAAATCAAATCTAATTTTTCTCTATCCACAACAAAATATATCTAAAATCACTTCATGCAAAAGCGCATTTGATAAATTCTATAAAAAAATTCCAAAATATATCGAACTTTTACAAACCTTAAATCGCCGTCCGTTCTGTTCAATAAAATAAAAATCACATACAGCAATGATCGTTTTCGTTTCTCGATCAACCATTTCAGACTAAAAAGATTGTAAATTTATTGTGAATTTCACTACAAATATTAATTTAACTTTTTTTGTTCATTAAATACTAAATGAAAATTTAAATAAATTACACAAATTTCGAAAATTTAAAAAATAAAATCTTCAGAAATCTGTAAAAAAATCGATTAAAATCGATTAATAAACGTCGAATGAAATAAAGATTTTGCTTTTTTTAATCTTTTTTAAAGAAAAATTTAATGATTTTACAATAAGAAAATTAGCTAATTTCCAAATAAGGAAAACTATGAACCTTTAAAAAAAATAACTAAACTAAATAAAAAACAAAACTAAACGTTTTAGAAGGAAATAAACAAAGAATTATAAAATATAAGGTAAAAATATAATATAAAAGAAGAAAATTATTAAAAGAATATTTACTGGTCAAAATTAAAAATGAAAAAAGGCTAAACAATTTTTATTATGAACTTATATGAATTTTTTTCCTAAAAAAAAAAATGAATTTTTTAAACTAGAATTATATAAAACCAAATGGTGAAGGAATAAAGGTATTTGGTTCATATAAAAATGGCACATCAAGACTACAAGTTATTGATAAAATATATTGTTTTTTGATGAATTATCAAACAATTGCCAAGATTTAGGGCATTCTACTCATTTCAATAAAGTTTGATTCTTTTCTTTCTTCTAAAATTGCTAATGTACATCAGTTTTGATCGATTTTCTTATGCCATTGGGAAGATTAAATTCTATCGGAAAACAATATCTTTTATAAAAATAAAATAAATAAACTGGTTTAAAAAAGGAGGTAAAACAAACCGACTCAACGTTAAGAAGCCAAGCGTATCGTTTTTCTGCATCTATATAACGAACAAAACCGAATTTCATATCGATTTGTTCGGTAAATCGAATCTTTTCTAAACGTTGTTCACGATTTGATTCCCTAAAATGAATCTTTCACGTTATCAGTAAATAAATATAGTTTGCAAGCAAATTTTTGCCCATAAAATATATCATAAAATGGTCTATATATTTAAGAATATATCGATAATTTTCCGAATTAAAGCTGTTTATATTATAGTGAATAGCCAATGGTTACTTCGAACATTATTATCGATCCAGCATTACCGATTTCCCTATTTCTAAACATTATATTAGTCATAAAACCTTAAATTTTGGCGGTACAGAGGACATCATCGCTACCTATATTCCCATGAGATTCTCTTACAAAAGTTAATGGAATTAGCACAATCAATAATGATGGGGAAGCAGTTTTATATTGATTTGCTTGTAAAATTTAGCTAAATTAAAGAATACTTAGAAAATAACTAACTGTTCAGGAGCAATATCAATCTCCATTTCTATTATATTTTATTTAATGATTAAGTAAATTAATGAAAGATCCTCGACTTTCTCGATTAGTATTTCTTAATAAATCTGAAATCCGTAAAAATCAGTAAAAAAAAAAAATAAACTTAAGAAAAGAAGTAATCAGTGATAAACTTGAAAATGTTATAAACGAATCATCAAACATATGAATTACGTCGCATTGAATGATAATCTTTCACCGAATGGCAACAGCAAAAGCTACTAGGGTTGAAGTCGACCTTTTTGGATACCAAACCCAAACACTAGGATCTTTTTTAATTTGAGCTGCTAGTTTTTGGTCTGCAATTTTTTGCTTTCGCCATTTGGTGACAAATATTATCCGAACTATTCTTATCGAAATCACATATTTTCGAAACATTAATTGATTGATTATAGCGAAAAATTTAGATTAATAGTGTTAATACATAACAATTCATAACAAATCGAGGTGCGTTAATGATAAGATCACCAAGATCAATCCAGAGTTGGCTTCGAATTCGCCGACGCACCGACCTTCATCAGGCGGCATTATTGCCTAACAGAATGATAGAATGGCTCAATAGGTTGTTGCTCAATCTCGAGCGCCGATGCTGAAATTTTCCTTCCGGCAAAAGTAAATCTATCCAAAAATCCGGATAATGCTACTCACTTGTATTTCTACTGCCAAGGAACCAAGGAATTTCCCTGGCATAACTGCCTAGTTTGAGAAGCCAAGCGAGTCTCTAATTAGTAATAAGGGCTTTAAAAAAAAAAAAAATAAATCGAGGCAAAGTTATGGTTGATATCTAAACAAACCACTTAGAATGCAATTAATCATCCGATATTTTCTAAGCTCTATTCAGAACTAAGTGATAATTAGACATAATTATGAAAAAACCCGTCCTACGGACAATTCTCGCATATTCCTAATATAATTTTGAGGACTCCTCAAAATTCGTTAATTTACATATTTAAAGAGATGCGTCACCTGATCAATTAATCAATTCTTTGAACCACCTGGTTCAAAGAAAGCACGGTGCTAAGGGGACTGGTGCAAATGGTTTATACAAATAGGAGACAGCAGACTCTAGATAGTCCTCTCATTTCAAAAAATCTTAAAAATTTTTTAAATTGAAAGTATTTTCGCGCCAAAAAGTTTCGTTATGAGACTAAAATCCCAAATAACAACTATATATTATATTTAATATTTAATATTAATTATATTATTTGCTAATTATTTTTGTGTCACATATTGTATACGTGGTACTTGGTGGTTGGATTGGTACCGTGGTTTCTCAAATCTTTCAGTGAAACCGGTTTTGTGTTTGACTAAGGTTGCTTCTCTAAGCTATATTGAGCTACATCCAGTTTTTTCTTTTAATTAATTTTCATATTGAATGAATTAAGTTAAATTTAAGAATTATTAGATTTTTTCAAAAGGCTAAGATGGTAAAAGAATCGGGTTCCACCACTCTCATATAGAGGAATAGAAAGGAATGAACTGAGGGGTTTGGAAACCTTTTTTGCTTTTTTAGCCAGTACAGCCAGTCTAAGCGGTAACAATACTAGCTGTTAGGAGGAGAAAATCTCGAAATAAATTCTCAATCCATTGTAAATAGAGTTCTTTTGCCTTCTAAATTTGGTTTCTTCCCTCTATAACTATCTACGCCTTCAAAGTGTTTTTTATCTTAATCCTTTAATGATGTCCTTTTTTATCCTATTCAAGTATTCAAGCCTTTAAAGCCTTTTATCAGCCTCTATCAAGCCTTTAGATCCTGTCTTTCCTTCCTCCTCGGAGGCCCCTCTCTTAATAATCTCCTTAATGAGCAGCCATAAGATCGAGCTATAATTTTTTGCAATATCCCATTAGTAATAATATTAATTAAATTATAAATTATCATAAAATATGGTCTCTTTACATCATCACAGCATCGTGGTCCTTTGATCTGCAGAAATTCCACAGTACTATAATTTGTCAGAAATCTCTTGCTTTATACTGCCTTAATTCCAGGAATCATTCTAGCCATTTGAAAAATCCCTCAGAATCTCTATAGTCTTGAAGTTCTTCTATATTTAACCTCCATTCTATTCTTCCGTGATACTGGTCTTTTTTCTTATACTTGTAATTGAGAATAAATAATAAAATTATAAAAATTATTATAAATTATAAACGATAGTCAAAGTAATAAAAAAACTAAAAGTTGTTGTAGTTAATTTTACGGCAAATTTCTCGCATCATAAAACCCATCATAAGCTGGGCATAATGATAAACTTAGAAAATTATCGTATTAAGAGGGGGTAATTGAAGGGTATTCCTGCCGGTAGGGATAAATAATCCGAATGATAGTGGCGATTTATCTGCAATTCTATGATATCAAGTGACTCTTTAACAATAAATTCATACAATCCTCGGAACGAGCCTAAGTTTTATGAAACTATCAATTGGGTTTTAATTTTTGCAATATAATTTTCAGGAAAATTGAAGCAATACTAAAAAATCTTTTCCTTTTACGGCAGCCTCTATCAATAATCTGTTGTTGTATCATCCGAATGGCCAGCCAAATCAGAATTACTTAGTTAAAACAAGGTATATTAATGTAATATAATAAATGGTTCTCACCACCAGATCTGACATCGCCATTCATTTTATAATGAGAATTTATTAGAGAAAATAGCAAAAAGAAAGAGTGCGTGCGGTATTAGATGAGATAAAAATAATAAAAATAAAGAATATTTAATTTTAAACAATATTGAATTTTAGAAATGAAAATTTTGAAGTGCAAAACTTCGGAAATTTAATTTTTTTAAGGAAAATTTTTTTTGAAAAAATTGAAATAAATTTCATTTCATTTCATTTTATTTCATTTAATTTTCTAATTTACCATCTTATATTAATAACATTATTAATACTAAAAATAATATTATTTTTAATTGTTGTTTATCAGTTAATTAATTATCAATTATTTATTATCATTATCAGTTTCTAGTGGAACTATGTTCGGCGAAAAAATATTAACGCAGATATAATCAATTTCTTTCGCTTATTTTCGCATAATTGCAATTCAGAACGTTAATGGTTAGAAATTTTCTATTTTTTCTTTATTTTTGGTTATCATTATATTATCAGTAAAAATTATATTATTAGTAATTATGTTATATTTTTAAAATTATGGTATATTATTAGTAAAAAGCGTAGACGAATGGCAAGTTAATGGCTATGACGGTAATCATACCGATTTGTTCAGTCCTATACTAATTTTATTTTAAAAATTTTATTTTATTTTAAAATTTTATTTATAATTCCTATTTTATTATAGTAAATTGTTTTGTGTTTGCTCGAATGAATTATTCTTTTATAGATTTCCAAAGTTTTTGAAAATTTTTGTAACTTATATCGCCAGTTGATAATTGTATTTTTTGCTTTCTAAATATATGCTGAGAATTTCGATTAATTTAAATCCGATTGATCGATTGGTTGCGTTAGATATAACATTTTATATTTAATATTTTGATTTGTCGTTAATCTTAGATAACAATTTTATTGCAAATTTTAGATAGTGTATTCTGTTGTTTATTCGGGAAAAAAAATCCCTTTTAGATTGCATAATTTTTAGTAGAATTAGTTGAATATTTTTTATGGCTAAAATTTGAACAGTTCATTGATCTACATCTATTTTTGTTACTATTTCAATATTTGTTAGATTAGTGATTTTATTTTGTTATATATATTTTCTGTATAAGCAATAACTATATTATTTTCTGCTGTATTGTTCACTGTTTGAGTAATCCTAAATTTCATGCGTTTGAACTGAATTTTTTATATTTTTATTAAATTTTGGAATTTATATATTTTCGTATTTGGTGATTTTTGTTTCACTATTTGTATATTGGGTGTTATAGATCATTTTTAATCTCTACTAGAAATATGACAGCTGTATGATTCCGTAGAGTAACCGGAGCTTTCTAGCAATGAACTCTTCTGGATGGGAGATCTCTGATATTGTTCCTGGAATTTGTTTGGGCTTTTTTTCCAGCAACTTCTACTCCTTCTATTGCCATCGATGTTACTTTGGTCTCTTCACTTTCTACATCTCTAGTTTTCCTCTTTCAGCTCCTATTTATTCCTATAAATTGGTGGCTGATATCTAGTTAGTTGGCGAGTACTTATTTGTCGGGATAGGGTCTTGTCTTATCTTCCATGATTTTATATCTCCTATCTCCCATCTGGTTTTGGGAAAATCATACACTGAGTAGATATTCCTATAGATGATATCAGCTATTTGGTTGTACCTTTCAGTTTTCGTTGTCCCTACTTACATTTTACATCTTTGTGTTGTACATTTTATATATATATATATGTGCATATATAATTTATATATTTTGCATATTTTATATTGTAAAATTCTTTTATTGCAGCAAAAACGATCAACTATTTGGTGTATTTCAATCCATTATTTTTCTTTCTTTTTTTTCCTCCTTATATGCTCCCATTTTGCCGCGATTGGTTCGAGAAAAGTATAAAAGAGTTCTTCAAAAGCGTGTGGATAGATTCAGATATAAATCAAAGACGATAAGACGAAGTTATTGGTACTTGGAGGTACATGTTAAAGATAAATTGTTCTGAAGATCACGGATAGGTTATAGCCTCAGAAATGAATTGATAGCACATAATTCATTCAGTTAATCTTATCAGTTATTCCAGTTTTTTTTTTTATTATTTTATTTTATTTTTATTTTATTTTTTTTTTATTTTTTTCCAATTATTATTTTTCAAATATTTTTTATCACTTTCTCTAATGATAATATTTTCCTATTTATAATTAGCTATATTTCTTTTTTTTTCACTGAAATTACTTATCGATTCTATTTTTTACTTTATTTCAAAACAAACCGGTAAGAAATGGCACACTTACATAGGATAATGTTGTAATAAAACTTTTCTATAAATTTTCCGATATTTTTACAGATATTGATAAATTTAATGGTTAATGATAAAAATTAATGATTGATTAATGCATATATATATTCATTCTCTCATTTTTAAGCCATTTCCTTTTTTATATTTCCTTTCTTCTTCTTCTCTAGGTTTTTTTCCAGCTAAATTGATGCTTAAGTATTTTCGTCTATTTAGTACCACTTCTTGTAATTTGAAAATTTCTATATTCATTATTCTCTATAAAATATTTGTTCGGCTTTATTCGGTTCGGTTTTATTTGTTCGGCTTATTTGCTCAAATACTATGAAAATTGCATATATTTGTGTATTTATATTTATATGATATTTGAATTAAGTTTAAAAAATTAAAAATTTGTTTTCATATATATATTTTTTTAGAAAATTTATGTCGAATTTATGTTGGCTTTTTTTTCATAAAAATATTGTTCATCAAGCGACATAATTTCTTTTATTTATTATTCATCTTCTATTTTTATTATAATTCATTTTTATAATTTTTTTAAGTCGAAAATTAGTGAAGCGCAAGGATTTTAGTCTAATAGTTAGTGAAGATATATGTATTAAATAATTCTCTATTATGAGGAAAAGATGAAGTGAATTTTTTTAATGAATTATTTAAAATTGGGCTGTTACTCGGTTCTTTATGCTTTTTTATTTATTGGTAATAATTTTGAGCTATTTCTTTGGAAAAAAAATTTTTCATAGGTCCAAGTTGGATTAAATGTGGTACTTAGAAATTTCTTTTGAAATTTTTAGAGCGTAAATAATCAATGAAAGCTAGAAATGATAATAAATGCTTTAAGCAGAAGAGAAAGAACCTGTTGTAAATTAATGATTGAAATTTATTTGCAAAGATATTTTGTAATAAATATTGAATTTTTTTTATTAATATATTTTGTATGTGTAATAATAGCTAAACATTGTTTTCCTATCTTTTAACATTTTTCGTCATTGTTTATTTTAATATGACTAGGATATTGATATTATAGTTTTATCATTCATATCTATCAGTGTGATTTGTTATCACATTTTTCGTTTTATTAATATATTTTTATCGTTTAATTTCTCTTTTAGAGCAAATAACATTATATAGTTAGTTGCTTCATTCAGTTATTTTAATTATTGCCTAATCATTATTTTTTGGGTGGTAATGGCGATTCACCTATACTTCTAGCTGTCGTCAAATTACTTGCTGGCAAAATTTATCTGGTATAAGAAACCAGCGGAGTGAGCCTAACCAGAAATGGTGAGCGCTTTTAAAAAAAGAAATATCTTGGTGTTAGCGATTCGAAAAAGATTCATTTTAACAGTTTTATTGTTCTTTATTCCATTAAAACTTTATTTTTTATGAGTATTCTAAAATCATCGAGAATTAATGTGATATATGTAACCGAATAATATTTTCAGACCATTTTTTTCGTTTTTTTTTTTTTTAAATTTTCTTTCCTTTAAACTTTTGCACTTTATAATTATTATTTGTAATTTCAATTATTTCATTTTAAAGCAATTTATCAAGTCAATAATCGTTCAAAATTATTTAATTTAATATTTAATATTTGTTTTATTTTTAAATAAAAATTTTTTAGATGAATGCTATTGAGAAGACGATAAGGAAGCGATCGCCTGAACCCGATTTGATTGATAGGAATTACGAAAAAAAGAAAAATGGAGGTGAAGTAGCTTGCTATAAAATTATTATGATGATTGGCTTATATTATCCACTTTCGATCGGACTAACTTTTTATCAGAAATGGTTTATCAAGGTTGAATTTTTTCAAATCTCCAAGTTGACTCGAAGTTTAAAACCATTGAAGAATATATTTATTTCTTTTTAATAGGAAAAAGTAATTATCAAAATAGAATTGAATTTTCGGAATTTTTTGAAAACTGCTCTACTAGTGAATTAAAATTTAAAAATAAAATAATGAATTAAAATTTAGAGCTACAAACTTCCACTTCTTATTGTCGCGGGTCATTATTTATTGAAATTTTTTATGGCTATTATTATTCGATGGGTGTTTGAAATATTCAAAGAAAAACGCATACGTATATCGTTTTATGAGCAATGCAGATGGCTTGTACCTATCGGCATTTGTGCCTCGCTTGACATAGGTTAGTTAAAGATTTTTAAAGATAATAATTGGAGATTTTTCTAGTTTAATTTTTTATAAAATTTAAAAATTAAAAAAATAAAGGTGAAAAGATTTATTTTTGCAGCTAGTTTGAATGTGTCATGATGATGAGCTGAATTGTTAGCGTTAAGGATTATTTTATTCTCCATTCTAAAATACACTCGCACTGTCGCTAGTTTGGCTGACCATACTGGTTAAGTAGTAGGTGAGAAACCTCTATTATCCATTATTAATAGATATTTTTACATATGGCAATTTAGAAAAAATACTAATTATCATGATGGAAGATTAAACCAGTAAATTTATAGATTTCTAGTTTTAAATAGACTCAATGAAAGATCTTTTATATGTTTTTAATTGGATAATTCAGGACTGTCCAATTGGGCCTTGGAATATATTACAGTAAGTTTATATACCATGGCTAAGTCGAGTTGTATACTTTTTATAGTTGCATTTTCTTTATTTCTTCGACTGGAGCGTTGGAAACCAATTCTTGGTGTATCAGCTACTCTTATAGCTGTTGGATTATTTTTATTTACTTGGAGGTTAATTCATTTGATTTTATTCGTTATCGAAATTCAGTAACTATCAGTAGTGATTTCAATCAAATTCTCTTTTTTTATTTCTTCTAGAAATTGTTTCCAGGTCCACACAACTTGATGTTCGAGGTCTTTTGTTAATTGAACTTGCGGCTGCCTGTACAGGTGTTCGATGGACTTTTTCTCAATTGATTATGCAACGTGAAGATCAAGCCATACGGCATCCACTTGATATGGTTGTACACGTTCAGCCATGGATGTTTTTGACTGTTCTTCCTCTTCTCTTTGTTTTCGAAGGTTAAATTATTTCTATATTAGTGCGGTTTAAAATCACTTAAGAAATTGAAATATCAAAATGGTTTAAGCCATCTTTCTTTCATTTTTATTCTGCAGAAAATGGTTACAGGTTCAGAACTTTCTTATCAATCAGTATTTTATTATCGTGGAGTTTTTGCACCTTACCAAATTTTTCTATATATTCTGGTTGGTGGTGTTTTGGCTTTTGCGTTGGAAATATCAGGTAAGATAGAAATTTCAATTTCAACAACAAAAAGCTTTATTTCGATAGCTTCTTCGTTTTTTTACTCTTTCATTTTATTCGATAAATCGAATCTCCCGGCAGTATTATTATAATTTCGTGGCCTTGTCCATTAAAATTTTTAAGCGAAAAGGATAAAAAGTTGATTTTTATATTTGTTCGTGGTACCATGTCTTTTAACTAAGTTATCTCATGCCTTAAATATAATCCAGCTTGTTTAATGAGTTTTCAGCTTATTTAGAACGTTTAAATTTTTTTTCATTGACAATGTTTAATTTCAGAATATTTTCTATTAGTGTTTACCTCTGGAATAACGCTCAATATATTTGGTATTATTAAGGTTTGTTTATTCTCTTCAGTAATTCTATCAGTTTCTATTCTTGCAATTGGATTTTATATTAAAGTCCATCAAAAAATTTTCAGGAAGTGGTGACGCTTCTTCTAGCTCATTTTATTAACGGAGATCGCTTGACAATGGTAAATTTTTTTCAATTTTTTGTTTTGCTTCACAAACCATGAAGATTTTTGACAATGAATAATAATTAAAATTTTAGATTAATATTTTTGGTTTGTTATTATGTCTCAGCGGAATGTCGTTGCACGGTGCGTCAAATCGACATAAATCAAAAAGACGATTATCATTTTCAAAGGATCGAAATTCTCTCGACTGTCAGTCCCTTTTAGCTGTTGTTAGTTTAGCTTTATTTTCTAAACCATTTAAGAATATTTCCTTTTAGATTGAAATATGGATTATGGTATCCATACATTTGTGTCTAGAAAAAATATAATAATATTATAATTTATGTGAATGTCTCTTTTTTTTGGGGTGGGGGAGGTGGGGGGAAATTCCTCTCTATTCATCTTTAAATGTCATCATATTTTTTAAATTAAATCCATTTGGGGGCTAGTTTATCTCCAATTTTCCTCTACGCTAGCGTGTTAACAGTATTTTCTTTAAACTCCCCAGAGCTTTCCTTCATATTCCATCTTACTTCTCTGATAACTTCATGAGGGAAATCTGCTTCTAGAAAACCCATTATGCTCCTTTGATCTTCCATTAAATCTTGTTGAGAGTTCTGACTCTCATTATTTTAGGGATCTTAAGATCTCTATATTATCTTTGCATTCTTAAGTTTACTAATAGTCTCAGAATTTTTTATAATATCTACATCTTTTCCTCAATATTTTCAAAACATCCTTAATCATTTTTAATGCCACATTTTAATTCCACTGCATTCCTTCACAATAATATCCCTTGAATTCCATTAAATCTTGCTGTGGTCCCCTAATATCCTCCATTGTTCTCTCGTGGTAACCCACTAATACTCTGCAAAATCCCGGTCGTGCTGGGGTCTTGTGGTATCCCTCGTAACCTTAAATTCCGTTAACAATTTTCTGTCATTTCCAAGATATATTCTTTTACTACAAAAAAATGGTCATTCATCGTTTCTGGTTAAACTTGTGGTTAAAATTTTTCGTAATTAAAATCTGGTGTGATATGATCGAATATTCTTTTCAACACATAGCTATAAAAGTATATTTGAACCACCGACTTCTTTCTTCTTCTGGCAGCTCTACCATTACTGGTTAGGCTGGCTCCAACGACTACAAGGGTAAGACGCTTCCAAGCGGCGCGGTCGTCGACCGCCGACACTATTTTGTAAAATGAATCGCCCCATCAAATCTCGCAATATTTTTGTCATTATACTACCGAAAGAATATGAATATGAAAGGGGATTGGAGAATTGAAGGAGAATGATAAAAATTTGGCTGCTATGGAAACAGTGCAATAGAATTCGAGGAAATGGTTGTTAACATCGGAGGAAAGTTACTCATCCAAGGGATGAACTGTTTTACTGGTTTATAAATCTTACTAAATTGTTTATTAAATCTATTACATAAAGAGGAAGAATATATATATACATAGGATACATTCCTTCTCCTTGCTCCTCTTCCTTCCTTTCCCTTTTTCTATTTATTTTTTTTTCATAATAAACCACTTTCACCGTTATTTTTTAGTCTTAATTAAAATCTGGTGTGATATGATCGAATGCTCTTACTTACTACTTCATTTTTCTTTGTGAATATTCACCATGGATAATTGATAAATCTTGATAGTGCAGCATCATATTGGTCATTCAGTGATATTCAGTATTGAAGCAGTAATATTGTTTTCTCCATTTGTTTTTGGTTGGTATCTTTTAATCAGCATTTATTGCATATTGATTGTTCACATTTTCTGTTGGATTGGACGAATGGTTATGTTGTTTTTTCCACCATTATTGTTCTATCACTATTGTTTTATTAGTTCAATGTCAATGCCTGTTCACAAGTATGTTAATGTTTATTCTTATTTTGCATTGCTGTTTTGTATTTTATATTTTTATATTTTATTTTATCAGTATTGATAATTTTTATTTTACGACCAACTGGTATCTTGGAATTTTAATCATTTTTAATCATTTTATCACTTCACTTAATTTCTTGTGATGGTTATTTGGCATAATCTGAGTGTTTTTTTTTTATTTTACTTTTTGATAAAAAAAAAATTTATGATATGCATCAATTTTAAAATAGCAATTACAACATAAAATTTTTTTTCACTGCATATTACCAGTTTTCATATTTTACTATTTACTGGTGAAAGCCCATTTTATTACCTTCAAACCTTCCCACATTTCTCTTGAAATATCTTCAGAATTCACCGAATTTCCTTAATACTACTTCTAAAATACAGATGTACCGTTAAGAAACTCTCTAAATTTCTATAATTCTCCATTTGCTTAAAGTGGATCTCGAGGCAATCATTCATAGGAAGAAAGTTAGGATTGGGAGAGTTGAAGAAGCGCTAAAAGGGGATTTAAAAGGGAAAAAGGGGATAATTATCAATTATTGATCATGACAACGAAATGCTTAAGGAAAATGATAAATTTGGCAAGGTTTGCCTATTTACCATTTTTGGTGGGTTTCATGCGAAGATTCTAAGATTTTTTAGAATATTTCTAAAATAAAGATGACAGACTGAGGTACCGAAGGAAATATTAATGGGTTGACGCTTGATAATGTATGCTAGATTATATGATATGATATATATTATAAATCTTAACAAATACTAGTACACTTTTAACATTATCACTAGCACTATTAAATACTAGCATTAAAAAAAAACAAGCTGATAAAATATTTAAAATATTTCTAAGTTGCAGATATTTGTAAATTTTTTGTTTTTGGGGAAATATTTTAGGGATAATTTTTATTTTTTGGGAAATTTTTATTTTTATCAAGAATAGTGAGCATTATCGTTAAAAATGAGATTGAGTATCACATGGTTTGTTTTCATTAATGAAACTTAGTTCGTTACCGAGAAATATTATATTATCAGAATTAACAAAAATACCTCTTCTTTTTGATCGACAAAAAGAGTGCCATTATTTATATTAATAAATTTTGTCATTCATATATATTACCGATCTATACATAAAAATTTTTTTCTCAGCTATGCAAAATATCAAAAAAATTTACAAAAATATCTACACTATAATGCTTTATTTATTACATCGTAGTACTATTTCTAAATTACATCATAAATTTAAATAATAATAAATAAATAAAATATGTCGAAAAACAAAGATTACTTAGAAAATTACTACAATTTTGAAATAACTAAAAAACGCAAAAAAATTATGTGATTATTATTTTGACCCGTAAAAATTCTAAATTCTTCCGTTTCAAATAACGCACCAGAATTATAAAGTAATAAAATTGAAAAATTTTCCTTTTAAAATTTCATAAGAATATCGGTAACAATGCGAGTAAGTGAATTTAGTCCAAGGAGATAACCTTTATCTGGTCCAGAGTATCGTTTATCGTTAAGAAAACCATTAAATGTGGAATGCGCAAAATCGATCATACGAATATCAATCGAGTCGCTGAGATCAATATTAGTCGTTTTTGTTTTACCATCAAATGCTACAAGAAGTGAACTTGAAAAGAATCGAAATCCTTCCGCATTTTCCACCACCTAAAATTATTTAATTACAAGTAAATAATAAGTTCCCCGATCAAGAGATAGTTACATCAGAAATAACATTAAACGAAAATTATGCAGTAAAAAAAAATTGAAAAAAATATTTTTGAAATATATTTTCAAAAGTCTTGAATCCGGACTTATAAAGTGAAATATACCTTTGTAAGTGCGGTTAATTTATTGAGAAGAATCATACATCGTATTCTTCCGGCACTTTTAAAAAATGATGCTAAAGCATCCGAAAGTCCACCACGATCCATCGCACGGCCCTCGTATTTATTCATGTATAAATAATTATTCAATTCCGGACTGAAAATAAAATTTTCATTTTATCTAATGAAAAAGTCAAAAGTTTTTTTAAGAGAAAATTAAGGAATCTGTTAAACAAACCTTGAAAATTAAAAAAATTAAGATTATATGATATGCTTTTGAAAATATCGAATCAAATTATCGAATTTAGCATATTTCATTTTATCTCAATCATATCCATCTTTGATATCCAATTTGATTTGATTTACAAAAAAAAATGATAAATTTCGACCAATACGAACAGCCTTATCATTACTTAACAGCATGCATCATTCCCAATTTGAGTGGCTATTGCTAGGATAAAACCCGTTCTCTAGAAAATTTGGCTATAGAAATATGAGTGGAGTCCGAGAAATCAAATGAAATATGGATATACAATATAAAAATATTTAAATATTTTAGGGGGCAAAAAAAGCAATAAACTTTTGCAATAAAAACTAACCATTTTCTTTTATTCGTTGATATTCACTGATATATTATGGATATGATAATAATAGTTTTTTTTCTTAGAAATTTTAAAATTTTATAGGAAAAAGCGAAAAAAAAGAGATTTTTTTTTTCTATGAGATGAAATAAGAAAGAAAACTGGGAAAAAAATTTACTTATACAATTGCATTCCAACTAAACGAATACCAGTTTCAGCGCTCGTTGATTCACGACATTTTATGGTTTGCATTGCGCGTTTTTCATCGCTTGCATCGTCACCATATTGTCGTGTTCCCATTTTGAGATCGATTATCGATGGGCAAATATATTCATCGACTATATTAACCAATAATAAAAACTTTTCATGACCATGCTGAAAAAAAAAATTTTTTTTTCAGATTTTCAAATTTTTTTTTCCGTTAAAAAATACGAACTAATTTGATTAATTTTTGTATTAAATTAACCAGTAGATTTAATAAAATAGAAAAAAATAAATATAATAATCTCTGATTATTATTTTAAAAAGAATTTAGAAATAAATAAAAAATAAAAAAATTTAAAATTTAGACTTTGATCATCATTTGTACAGCGTTACATTGACACTGTTTAGCCCAATTATTATCGCAAAAATCCGAGTCCACATGATCGTTCTCAGCAATATAAAAAGTGATTTTATCACGTGATAAGCTATGGGTATGGCACGTTATTTCTTTATCAGCATTTAGCACCAATGCATTTTTTGTATATTTTTGTACGATTATACTTATACAACCTTAAATAAAAGACAAACTCTTTTAATGAAATATCATTTATGATAAAAATGAAACCAACAATTAAATAATTTTTCATGCAATTAAATACTAAATAAGACGATTGAAAACAAGAAATGACATGAGATTTTGATCATATAAGACGTTCGACGATAGTGAAAAATGGCAGTTTTCAGTTAATTTCATGGTATTAAATCGGAAGATTTGTCTTACTCTATTAATTGATCTATGCAAAACCAGTAATCGAGCAATAATATAATCAAGTAATCAATAATATTAGAACCAGAATAAAAAAAAAAAAAAAAAAAACAAGAACCATACCACAACATTGCGTTGTATATGGTGCGAAACGATCATCGATTTGCCGATAAAAATCATATTCACGATCATTGAAAGGTTTACAAACATGCCCACCACAGACAAATAAACCAAAATGTCCACCAACTTGATGTTGAAAACCGCTAACTATCATCTAAAATATAAAATAAAAAATATATAAAAAAACACAACAATTAAAAAATGATAACATAAAAATGATTAAAAATAAAAATAATTAATAAAAATTAATAATAACAATTAATTTAAAAAATTCAATAATTGTCACCTATTTTATATTCGCGCTGATTGGCTCATTCACCAATTTGTTGTTTGTTGCAATCCTTGATTTAACAGTCCAATTAATTTAATTACGGACTTCGTAGTACCAATTACTGAAATAAATTATCGCTTAATTCTTCTTCTATTATTCAATTTTAAAAACAAATCCAATGAAATCAATCCTTAGCCTTTTACCCTTCCTTAAATACCATTCCATGGTACCATTTTATATTACGAATTTTTATAATTTTTTATTCTATTTATTAAAAAACTTAAAATTTTTCAAATAAATAAATTATCGTAATTATCCAAAAAAAAAAAAAGATTATAGCGAAAAACGAAACAAAACAAACGTGAAATGATTCGAATGAATGGAGAAAAAATGAAAAAATTTTTCATGATTTATAGACCCATAGAGGTTTTACCTTTGCCAAATAATTAATAGCAATTAATAATCAAGTTGGTGGAAATTTCTTTTAGCTGCCATACTATAGACAATTGGCAAAATGCGCTACTGAAAATAGAAATCAACTGAAAACTATCAACTGAAAACAAAAAAAAAAAAAAAACAAAAAAAAAAGATAAGCGATAATAAAAAATAAATAAATAAATTCGGAAAAATATTAAAAGCAAAATACTAGTGAATTCGCACAGTTAATTTTATATTTTTTCTATGAATTCCTTTCTTATTCCCAAAGTATTTTTTATTTTTTTATAAATAATATTTTTTCTTGCAAATATTATTTTTGCAAATTTTTTCTTTGGTTTTTTTTCAACTGAATAACCATAATTTGTGGAAATGAAAAGATGAAAAGATCCTCAGGATCGCTAGGATTATTCTCAAATTATTCTTGTCATAAATCTCCTCATAATTCCTTTATTTTAATTTGACAACCCCTCGAAATCCACTTTTATATGCCTATAATCCCTAAAATTCTCTATTATTCACCAATTCTTAATATAATCCAATACCATATTTACCATACTGAATTGCATTGCGAGGTTTGAGACGCTGTTAAGGAAGAAAGCAAGGAAGGAGGCTGCTAAGAAAATTTAAACGAAGCTTGTAAACAGGTTTTTGGGGATAATAAATGGTTACAACATAGTGGAATTTCGAAGACAATGTATTAGGCTTTTAACGAATGCTAATAGCACAGCGTTATAGATGCTAGGCTGCCATAATAAAGTTAGCTAGGTTTTTAAGAGAATTAAAAGGATTTTAGAGATGAGGAAGGTTATAGGTCCTAAGGAACTTGGAAAGAACTTATAAGATACAGTTTCTGGTAAAGCTGCTAGTCGATTATCGTAAAAGAATATAGGGAATTCTGCGATATCTTATTGAGATATAGCCAGTTCCGAGGAAGGTGATATGGAGATGAGGCGAAATTCTGAAAAGATTTAATAGTGATAATATATCTAAAGAGACATTATAACCTGGTTAAAATAAGATGGTACCGTCGAATATGACACCAGAATAAACAGGTTGGAAACACTTCACCCCCACCCCCCGATGTTTTACGAGGATTGATTTTGGATAATTTTGGATGAAATAGATGAGTTTTTTTTTTTTCCTTGGACGTACACTTTAATATAACAAATTATTAGAGATTTGACCCACAGGGGATATTTTTACATAAAGCCCGCCCACCGTCTAATTGGTACTTTTGTACCAATCGCACATACGAATTTATAAATTTCTTTTATTAATTCGCTAAAAAGCGACGTTTACGACAGCAAAAAACCACTATGAACAATAAAAGAAAGCGCAATTCAACGGTACTTCTTTCCTCGGCGCAGACTGTGTGAAACAAATTATAAGTTCGTCTTAAATGAAGAGTCGCTAGGCGATTAGAATCTAATAGAAATTGCATAATATAAAAATGGTAGACGATTGAAACAGAGAAATTTACAAATTACAATCAGAAGATTGATAATGTGGAATTAAGAGAATTATTGAAAACGACGAAAGCGTAGAGAATACGTGATGGCTTATTGGACGTAATTAGAGAAGATCAATAGAAAATGACGACCGATATTCGTCGGCGCTTTTATCGCGGCTTTTATCCTATTAGTTTTTATCATTTTATCATTTGTTATCAGTGAGGTAGTTTTGTTGAGTATAGGATAGGATAGTTTATTGGCGTAAGTAGGACATTAGGGTTGGGACGTCGGGGTACTGACGGAGATGGGCCATTAGGACATCGAGCGGACATTGGACATCCGGACATTAAAACACTGACGGACACCAGCAATTGATAGAAGATTTTGAATGTAGCTGAATTGGTACACCGGAGGATCCATTTCCCAGATTTTGTTCAACATAGTCAAGAGAGGTTTTGAATGCATAGGTGACTCGACTGACATACGGGCTTAGATGGAGCTCAGAAAAGAATGACTTCAATTAATTGTAAAGATGCTATTAGATTAACGGCCTTGGAAACTATTTCTTATCACCGAGGTAGAATAGCTAATTGGATTGTCGCTCATTTGTGAGCGCCGATGCCTAGGTTCGATTCCTCGCACGAGTGAACCTCTGCGAAAATCCGGGTGATGCTGACGACTCGCCTGTATTTCTGTCGCCAAGGGATTCCCTGGCATATTGCCTAATGCGACAAACCAGTAGAGCGAGTTTAACCAGTAATGGTGAGGATTCTTAAAAAAAACCTCTAATCACCAGCGGAGAGAACCGAACTGAGAATGTTGCTGTTAAAAGGATGTAATCATATAGCTGGTAGAATAGACGAATTTGATCATCTCATGATCGCACCATGCATTCGGTAGGAATAAACCGGCCATTAAAAAATCCCTTGTGAGTGCACTTGTCTAGTTCTATGCCTACTTTTTCACCAGGTTATTCCAAAATTTCTCAGTGGAGTAAAACCTGATCCAGAAACGCTAAGCTGTGGCTGTATTTTATTTCAGTCGTGCAATTTCAATATATATTTCAATATATATCTGATGAATATATGGAATCGTTACGGGGACCGTATATGGATATTCTTATCTGTGATGACTGGCATAAAATATGTGCAACATTGGACGAAACAGCACTGGTCTTAAGCCTACCGACTGATTCAAATTTTAACGCAAGCAGCGAAACACGTCGCGTAAGAATCGTCAAACATGACGGAAGTGGACTTGGCATTAGTATTAAAGGTGGACGTGATAATAATATGCCAATTTTAATAAGGTTTTTTTCTTTCATTTCTTTTTTTTTGAATAAATTTTACACTTATGATAAGATGTGTGATAAGATATTACAGTGATAAGAATAATAGATAGCAGCGGAATAATACCTCTTTGCCATGCAGTAATATTTTAGTAATTACTTGATCCGACTGCTTTATCACGGCAATAATAGCAATACTACTCACCTCACGTGCACGTATCTTTTATTTTCGGCCTCAAACTTGTATAATTAATAATATACGGATGGGAAAAAAAAAAATAATATTCCACATAAAATAAAATTAAAGACTTGAAGATTTTTCAAAAGCAACTAATAAATGGATAAATAAAATTTAAACAACAAAAAAAAATTGTCAAATATTCAAATTATGCAGTTTGGGTCCTTTAATGGTTCCATAGTGAAAAAAGAGAAGCGTAAAGAACTTCCAAATCTGTTAGAGGAAATTGACCCTATTGGTTTATTGACATATATGAATGTGGAATCCTACAAAGAATTAATTAAGCTAATGAAAAGTTCCTTTTGGCAGGTCGGGGTCACTGTTTGAAAATAACAAAATTTAATAGAAAAAATATCATATTTCGCGATAGTTCTTTCATTTAATAAAAAAAATAAAATTTCAGTAAAATTTTCAAAGGAATGGCTGCTGATTTAACAGGTCAACTATTTGTCGGAGATGCTATAATTGCGGTGAATGGTGAATCTTTATGTGAAGCAACACATGATGAAGCAGTAAGAATACTGAAAAAAGCGGGTCGTATAGTCGACTTACATGGTAAGATTTACAAGTTTTTTTCTAGATTTCATTCCTTCATTCGCATGAGATTTTAAATTGGGTACGATTTTACGAGGTGGTAAAGTTTCAAGTTTCAAGTTTCAAATATATCATAAGTTTGGAATCTTTTCTATAGCAAATCTATAAATGAGATCCAAATGGTGCTTGTATCCCATAGTGACTCGCTGGCGAAAGAGCTTAGTGGTCAATATACCTTTTTCAGTTGGAAATTTGTTTCGTGTATATAGAAAATGGATAAAAAATTTTAAACTAACCAGTTTATTTTCTTGAAATTTGAGGTAACACCAGTTTCTCAGAATTATTTTTCTGAATTTTGTTATTTCTGACTGAATTGGCTTCTTCTGGCTAAGAATTTAAATAATAGATGGCAAAAGTTTTAATAGCGCCCATTATTTCTGGCTTAACTAGGATCCACTCGCTCGCTCCACTAGCTTGTTGGACCAGATTAATTTTGCATGGGATTCACTTGGGGGCGAAAGTATGAATGAATCATCAACGTCATCCGGATTTTTGTATGACAAGTTTACTTTTCTCGCGAATATTAAAATCAACGTCGGACTCTCCCGAATGGGAAGAAAATAATAGCCTACTGAGTCATTAGAAGTACCTCAGGCTTGTTCAACAAAGATCGTAAATATTTTCATATCACACCGTTTTCCCATTGTATTTTGTGTATTTATAAAGAATGGATGGATCATTTCGAGGAATCGATTTCAGGAAGGGATATTTAGACTTCAGTCAAATGGTTCTGTGGCACAAAGAATCTGCTCAGTGCGATATCTTGATCTCAGCTAGTATATTCGTTATACTTATTGCATGACTTTGTTCTTATTTATTAATTACTTAATGTTTAGTACAATTCATGCGAGATATATGTCTAAGAAGGGACAATATACTGGAAAAGATACCGTGGGATGAGGAAATGCATGGTTATGTCAGAACTATCAGTTTGAAACTTGCCTACGTCTCTCGGATGAGTTTGATCCATAACGATCCAGAGGGACGAATGTTCGAAATTAGATCACCTTCTTCGAGATATTCCTTAACATTCAGGTTTTTTTTATAAAAATATTACTTGAAATTGAGCAAAACAAATATTTTGTTAAGCCAAAAGTTCTTAGTCTCTTTTGTATTTCGGGATCATTTGGTATTTGTGGTGAAGTCTGTGAATCTCTATGTTGTTTTCGAATACATTGGAAGGGATATGAAAATTTCTATAATTACTATTGGCAATTACTATTCACTATTATTCCTAATACTTTCAAAAATCGCATCGTTACTGATTAAGCTGGTTCCATTGGTTACAAGAGTAAGGTACCTTTCCTAATGTAAATATTTTGTTAACAAATCCAAGAGGTCCAGAGCATCGTATCATAGGTCTTGAATATGCTGATGATGTAGTCTTGAATATGATCCTTTTTCCTGATAGACATGATGAAATGGTAATTATGCTAAATAAGAAAGTCAGTAACTGCATCGAGGATTAAAATCATTCATTTTCGGTTGAGGAAATACCCGACTTTAAATATTTTGGATCCACTCTAATCCCAAATGGCCAGACAAAGAACGAAATTGCAACAACGGTGGCTAGAAATGCTTTATTCCGGTCCTTTATGGACTCGTCTCGAAATCACTATAAAAATGAATCTGCATAGCTGTAGTTGGCTCGATCTTGCTGGCTGTGAGGCATGATATGAGAGTGGGAATTTTTAAGAAGTTATCTGTCTTTGACCACTCATATCTAAGGTACATTTTACGGGTTGACAAAATCTCTACATCTACCTTCGCTCAAGTTGCATTAACAGCACCATCAGAGCGTCTCCTTTGATGCTTAGGGCACATTCTTCGTCGCTCACTACAAGAGTTGATATCCGTTTCCGTTACTTGGTAAATCTTGCAATGGTGGGTGTCAGAAGCGAGATGAGTCAATCAAGACCTGAAATGATACAGTTAAGAAAGATTTTGAACGTATAGATGAACCAGGAATATATGGACTTAGACGATGGAAAAAGGAATCGCTACTATTATTGTTTGCATCAGATCGTGCAGCTTGCCAACATTTTACTCTTTTAGCCAGTGAAGTCACTAACCATTAATGATGGAAGTTGTTAGGTCAGCATACCAGCGCCACGCGCCATTGTTTGGATGCAATTTCACTAGGACACGTCTCTCTCGTATCACCATAAACCTATTTGGCAGAAGAAAAATGGAACTCTTATACCTAACAAACCAATTCTTTGCCGATTGTCTCGTCCAAGCTTCTTGGAGATTTGGGAGCAATATTACTTTGCTCCAACAATCTGGTGTTATATTTTTTTTCTGTAGCAGTAAATAAATCAGTTGAATGTGAATTAGTTCAACTCTACTTCTAAGACCGTCTTCTTCGGATCTTTATTGGCCTAAATTTCTAAATGCGGATTTTGTTTCTTTTGGCTCTTTTGACACCTCTTATGGGCAGTTACATGTTTCAGCAATATCCGCAATATTATAGGTGACGCATCTTTAATTTTAATCTCTCAACTGTATAAGGCGGTAAGCCTTTATTTTTATTTTAGAATCCCTAGTCACGGCTGCTTTAGACGAGAGTATTCACATAAGATTCTTATTATCGTCGCGATTAACTGTCCCAATATTTAAACCTATATCATTCCAACAATCACTCCAATAACCTTTTCTATTTTGCTGCTATTATTACATCCTTTCGAAGCATACGATAGATAGGATTTCTTATCATGAATACTCTAATACCTTTTTGACCATTTCTTTTGGCGTCGAACTGATTATTTCGTTATATACCCTAGCGAATTTGGATTCGGCTGACTTTCGCACGGGACCAATATTTATCAGCCGTTGATGTTTATAATGTTTTGTTGAATTAGTTAGAAATTTGCTTATTGTTTCCAAATTTTTGAACTTAAGATAATTAAAGTACTTTGATGGGTGTTCTCTCCTGTACATTGTCAGCAACATTTGGATCTTGGATCCTGTTGGTCTATTCTGCGATTTAAGTTGATCATTCTATTCATTTTTTAAAATTTCAAGCAAATTGTGAAATGTTATGCTATTTACGTTCTTGTTGCAAAATCATATTATATAGGAAATTCAACTATATGATGAAAATGGATGGTTTTTTTTTGATTTTACAGGTGTGATAGCTTAGCAGAAGCGGATGCGTGGTTCGAAAGTATTCATAATTGTGCATCTAGCTTACTTACCCAAGCTTTAGCCCAAGTAAATCTGATGCTTGGACAAAACCCACAAGTGAAGCGAATGGGATGGATGGCCGAACAAGTAAAAATTTGCAGTTAAACGGTTTAAGATTTTTCAGATTTTATTTTAATTTTTATTTTAAAATCGTTTCGGAGCTGTAAAAGTTTTTCCAAAAAAATTATGGCATTCATTGTTCTCCTAATAATGCACTAACTTGGCTGCACTTATTATTTTATGCTGTCTAGAAACCGTTTGTTTTCTATCGTGAACGATTATCATTGGCGCTTGGGCACAATGAAACGGCAAAGTAGAATTTATAGGAGGAAATGTGAAATAATTTCATAATAAAATAATATATAATAATATATAATAAATAATTTCATAATAAAATAATATACCTGATATAATCTTATTTGCACCATGAATTATTAAAGTAAACTGTCAAATGATGTTTTTGGTCTTCCTTATTTTTTACCAATAAAATTATTATCTCACAGTTCTTTATTGATCCAGTTCTTTCAAATTTTTCTTTTTTTATTTTTATTTTTTTTTATTTTTTTGCTAATATTTTTTTGATTATTTGATTTTATTTTATTTTTTAATATGCGCATACCTTAATAATTTGTTTATAAAGTGAATAAACATAAAAAAAAATTTGCAGACAGTGAATGGTGTTATTTCGTGGAAGGCAGTATTTGCAGCATTAACAAATAACGATCTTCTTTTTTACGATTGTGTGCCTATATTAAAATCCGAATGGGCTTGTCCAAGAATAACACGTCCTCTTATTGCAACTCGTGTTGTCCAAACAACCTCAAGGTGAATTTCAGAGCATATTAGGCAATTTCTTAGTGGTATTGTCTTTATACTCGTCCTTACAATATATTTAGAAGAATGTTATGTATTTCAATGAATGACTTGTAATTCAATAATTCAAGTTTGATTTTTATTATTATCGTGGAAATTCAGGACAGCGCCTGTAATAGCGGGTCTCTCCGATATCATATCGTTTACAACCCGAACTGGTACACAGCAAGGTGTTCGTTCTCACGTTTTTCGCGTTGAAACTCATCGTGAGTTGGCTGCATGGGTGAAAAGTATAGTGAGATGCACATATGAAGCTTGTAATGAAATCAATCAAGTATCTTGTCGTATGTTTCAAATAATTTTAGAAATTTTTCACTTAGAAATTAATGATGCTAAAACAAACTTTAATTTCAGTCTCTTTCAAAAATATACCAGTTTTTGAAAATTTTCGTGAATTCTATGTTCTTCATTTGGATTATTGATAATCACTTTAGCTTAGTTTCACACTTTTTTCCTTGATATTCTCGAATCTCACCACTATAGAATGTTAAATATTATAGAATTTATAAAAAATGAACCATTTATAAATGAAATATTTTAAGCATGTGCATGGCACGATGAACAATGTGATTTGATTTTGCATCTTGAGAAGGGAATCAGTTTGATTGGACAAGATGGTCAGATACGATGGCATTTTCCGTTTGAAGCGATTCGAGCTACTGGTGATGATGGTCACCGATTTTTATGGATTGACTTTGGCCCTCCGAATGGAGAACAAGTTGGTGGTTAAATTGAGTTATTAAGTGCGCTTCCTCCTTAAAAAACATCTTTTTTGGCTTCACTGGCTACAATGGTTTGAAGCGTTTGTCTTCATAATCTTCCGATTCGGGAGGATAATCCCTGAAAATATTTGCAGCCTCATCTTTTTTCACTTTTCAAATCTATAAGTCTTTGCAACGCCTATGCGATTAAAATTTATGCTGGTCATATCTGCATAGATTAAAATTTAAATTAAAATTTCTTTTGATGGTTTAAGATGCTGCCGATGATGATAAATGGTTTTTGTGGGACAATTTGGAGAAAAAAATATCTGAAATTCGAATAAAGAACATTTTTTTGGTAAATAACGCCAAAATTTTTCAGGAAATCGATCTTCTTTCATCGCCTAAACCCGTCGTATTCATTTTGCATTCATTTCTTGCCACAAAAGTCTTTTCTCTTGGTCTCTACGCTTAGAACTGCAAATCAGCCTGATTTCTTGTTTTATTATAGTAAAATTTATTTTTCTCTTGGTCTCTACGCTTAGAACTGCAAATCAGCCTGATTTCTTATTTGATTATAGTAAAATTTATTTATTTTTTCTTTATTCTTTGCGCTTCAATATTGTAAAAATTTGTGGAAATTGGCAACTTTTCTTTTTCCTTCCGTGGTAATTTATTTAATACATTTGGTGTAAAAAGTAAAATTTATGAAATTTTTTGAATAAAGAATGTCGGGTTATTTTTCTTCCACAGTAATCACAATTTCTAGTTTATTTGCCTTAGTCTAAGCCCTAGCAATGAGTATAAAAGTAGAGGCACACATTTATCACCAATAAAGCAGTTCATGAAATTCGCATTGTGAAATGGAAATGGAAATTGAAATATCACTTGTCATAACCGTTAGAAATAGTTTGCTGACAATTTAATGCCTTTATTTATCAATTCCTGATTAGAAGAAGGAAGAAGATTGTTCAAGTTTATAGCTCCATTTCAAAGTCCAAGAATCCTTCCATTATTTACTGCAAATTAAGCTTAAAAATTTATTCAGCAATGAAAAACAAAAGTTTTAAATGTTACTCATTGTAAATTTTAAAAATTAAATTAAATTTAATTAAATTAATAAAATTAAATTTTTTTAAAAATTTTTAAGTTCTTTTACTAGAAAAATACTAGTAAAAATAATAGTAACAATTATTTAAATTATTAAAGTATTTGAACAAATTAAATATTTAAATATTCCAGAAATTTTAAGACACTTCATTCATTTACGTCTTTTGGAAAAAATTAGCAAAATTTTTTTCCAACTACTTTCCATAAATTGAATAATCCTTGCACAACTCGTTCGACGAGGTGATTCGCATTTATGATAATATCTTCCGTTATCAGTAAAGTTAGAAAAATATGAGAAGAAATCTTTAATAATTATCATTTCTTAAATTATACCGAACTGTATTATTTTATTTTATTTTTAACATTATGCCGTAAGTTAATTTCCATGATTTTTAATTTTATTATTTTGTTAATGAAGTTAATTTTGGAAAAAAAGGATGAGAAGTAGTGGGAAACTACAAATACAAATTGAAATTATAAAAAAATGGAATATTGAAAAGCCAATTGGTCTCATCTATCGATTCTAAAATTATTAATTAATTATATTAATAGACTGAGATTCATGGAACACATGGAATTTGAGATTGCAAAGTTAAAAAGGTCTTACTGATAAGAAAATGTTCAAATTGATAATAGTACTACTATGATAGAAGATTGAAATTAAATAAATTTTCGTTGAAATACTGCAAAAAAAAGGGAAAAATTTTCGTTCGCTTGCCGCTAATTTTTTAAAAATTCATTTAAATAATTTGGAAAAAAACCATGTAAATTTTTTTCCAAAATTTTTAAAATTTCAATTTTTTTATTTTTCCTTATTTTTAGAACCGAAAAGTTGCGCATAAAAAAAGGCAAATATAAACTGAAAATGATTTTGGGTGAGTTTTAAGGAAAATGCTGAGAAAGAATTGAATATAATACTTTTATTTTTTATAATATTAATATTGGTTTATTTTTAATGACAATTTTCTTCTAAAACTATTTCGATGTTTAATGGATTTTTTACGAAAAAACAGAATTTAAAGGAAATTTGATCCTTATCAACGTTAATAGGAGCATAAATATATAAATAGAATAATAGGCAATAATCGCAAATTTTTGCACATTACTGCACCACTGCCATTCGAAATGCACTTTTTTTTAAAGAGCGAAATAATTAAAATATCAAATTCATTAAAAATTAAAGATATCGACTCATAGCAATTGACGATTATTAAACGAATTGATTTTTTAAATTTGCAATAAATTTTTTGAGAACCGCAAAATCAACAAATCTTTGTATTCTTTTATTGATTTAAATTATATCTCTATTTTGCGGATGTGTCATTAAATCAAATAATCTTTTCATAATAACTATAATATTCAATATTTTTCTAAAACTATTTCAATGTATAAGAAACGATGAACGAGAATTTAAGGCAATTTTAATATATAAAAGTGTTAATGAAATATAAATACATAAATATAACTGATTACGTATAATAAGCGCACGTTTTTGCGCATTACTGCATCATTTTTGTTCGAAATACGCCGTAGCAGCTATTTGTTCCTCGTACATGGCTCTAATTGCTGGAGGTTCTAATTGTCTTTTGTGTCTACTAGTTGCTGCTGAACGTGATAAGGCCGTCGCTGAAATCCATTAAAATATCTAAATTTATGTTTTCCATTTTTTTAATCTGTTCTTTAAAAATATTACCAGAAATTGTTATGCAATCGCGCGACTCACATATTCTCTGGCACAATCTGTTGTTAAAACAAATACCCAATCACCATCGATAGTATCAGGACAATCTTGTTTGCTGCACCAAGTAAGTGATAAAAAACCACAAGTATGTGGGCAAAGTTGTAATGCAAGACTTGGGAAATGAGTAGTGTAAAGCAGTGCCTTGAAAAATTTCTGCATGGATCGTCTGCACTTCCAATTGAAATTAATAATTTTTAATTTTCGACTACACATTTAGCTTTTGAATAAATTTTCAAAAATTTTCGAGCAAATCCTTTTTTCCATCTTCATTGATATCTAATTTTTTAAAATTTTTTATAAGACAATGCAAAAAACAATTCTATTTTCAATTTTCAATTTTCAATTTTTTATATATTTTGCACATTTTTTGAAAATTTTTTGCCCATTTTTCAAAAATTTTTCCCATCTTTTTCCCTTTCAATGAAATTACGATGAAGTCGTTTTGTTAGAAAACTAATTTCTGAAATACAGTAAATAATGCATAGAAGGCATTAAAAAGGCATTAAGCAATTATTCTTATGGTATTAAATATATTGGACGTAAATTGTGCCAATAAAAATCACTTAGTTCCATTTCATATTCCTTTTATTCTTTAATTAAGCAACATTTCGCACAGGTTCGAAGACATATTTATCGAGCTAAATAGAGTTAGTTCTTTATGCATCTTTTTGACAATTGTCACCAAATTTTATAGTTCTTGTCGCTGCAAGACATTAACATGCTTAGTGAATCTTTTTATATTTTTGTATGTAATATTGTAAAATAAAAATAATATATAACAACCTATCAATAATGCATTCATGCAAATTTCTTCGATAAAATGAATGAAGAATCTCAGTGAATCGGTTAAATTGAATAGTTAAAATGAAAAACAATTTGTAATTTTCCAAATGTTATTTTAAATTTTCAATTCATTAATTATTTGATTAATTTAAATGATTAATTGAATTTAATTTGATTTATTAAAATTAATTTTAAATTGAAATTAATTTAATTAATGAAATTTAATGTTTTAATAAAATAAAATAAGATTAAATTTAAGATTAAATTTTAATCAAATTGTACTGTCTTCAATGATCAAATGTTCGAATGATAATGATTTAAAATTATCATTTATGAATAAATATAGTGATATATTCATATTCATATTCATAGTGTAATGAAAATAAAACTGAAAAGTTCGGAAATGTACGTCATGACTTATATTATCTACAACCATCATTCCAGCATTGTTGTCATAGTGAGCTTGAATATTTCAGAACAAGCCGCAACGTCATGATCTTAGCAAGTATTCCAGACAGCTATTTTAGACCGAGCAAACTCCGCTTTGTGGAGGTAGAAGCAGATATAGGAACAGGTCCAGAAGAAGGTAGAGGAGATACAGAGATAGCAGGAACAGGATCAGACATAGAGCAAACATTTATAACCATAGTACCTCCGTTAACAAGACTGCATAACGACGCAAGGACAAGCAAAAAAGCGAGCATAGTCAAATAGTCAAGTTTGCTTTCGGTCCACAAATTCAGCTATTTATAGCCGATTTTCTTTTGTCTTTTATATTCCACTCAATGAAAAAAGTGATAAATGATAAAACATTATCAACTTTTCATTGAATTCATCAGCTGCTCAAATTTTTGATTCGAGTTAATTAAACGCCATTCTCTAATTTCCAATATCATTTAACATTATGAAAGTTCATTATTTTTCTCATTCTCATCAACGCAATAGAGTTATAATCTCATTCAGCCGTCTATTTTTTGATTTGCCTTATGCTTTTGGTTAAATAGGTGCTTAGGCTAAATTAGACCAGCAGAAACTGCAAGCGTATTCGTTTCAAAAATTAAAATTTATGAAAAAAATTTCGTAGTTTCTGATTCTTCTCGAATTGTTTGTGAACTTAAGTTGTGCAATGCGAAAAACTCCATATTCAGAAGCAAAATAAAATTCTAAGATTTCAATTCTAAGATTTTTACAACACTATTTGCTTGTAAATTTTCGAAATTGGCCAGGAGAAGCCTTGTAGATAAGCATTGAAAAGAAAATTGATACCATGAAGATATTAACAAATACTATAGAAATATTACTTATGGATGTGTTCAACAATTTTCGATTTTTGCTTATGTTCATTAAACAATTCCTTTTTCATCCTTCATCGTCCTTCAGCTAGCAAAATCAGTCGAGGATAGAAATACAAATAGACCCCAGTGCTACTCAGATTTCTCTTTAAAGGACTCCCCACTAGAGGCAAAAACCAATGGTTGGATCTTTATCGAACATTTCTATTCCACCATCTTTATTATAGTTATTAATTGAAAATATTTCTTGCTTTTCCATTTTTGCTTGAGGTTATTGAAAATTTTATATTTTAATACATTCTGTAGTGAAAAAAATAAATATCTACGAAACGTTGTAATTCAGCACAATTAGCATTTTTACGGAACAGTGCCATAAAATGCAAGTAAATATTTATATTTTATTTAACCATTTCCGGTTGGTATAATTTTTTTGTTGAATTTATCTTTATTTTGCCCTTAAGCAATTATTTAGCGCATTTATTCAAAACAATAGAGAAAAGTACGTAGCATAAATGCCATAATATCCTCCAGTTTTTTAAATTACTAAAAAGAAACTATAGAGGATAACTGATAAAATGATAAGTGATGACAGCAAAAATACAAAAATGAATGAATGAACTGTTTTGCTATGTTTTGCATCACTTTTATTTTCCTTGACTGATTTCATAAAATTCACTTTTCCTATGAAAGAATTAGAAACTATCAATCTCAGGAAAGGCCATTCAAAAAATTCTTAAAAAATTTTAAAAATTTTCTCGAGAATGATAGAAAAATTTGAAAAATAAATGATTAAAATGGCGATTCTGTTTTATTTAATTTGCCATAAAATTCAACCTATTGAGAATTTTTTATAGTGTTAGTGAAATTTTACACTATTGTGCAATATTTTCACATTTAAAATGAATATTAAATATTCATTTAATAAATAATAAATATTTCATAACAAATATTTCTATAATTTTATAATAAAACTTTGCATCAACTCAGCTAATCAGTTAATAAAATAAAGCACAATTAATTTTAATAAATATTTTTACAAATCATTAATGGGCTGTTTTGATGTTGAATATTAGTTGATAATGATGATAATGATGGTAATAGATTGCGAATAGATTTGTGAATAATTGCAATAATTATTTATTTATGAATTTTTATTAATAATTATTTATTATTTTAATAACTATTTATTTTAACTTTAGAAAAATTAGATTAAAGAGGATGAATTTAATCGAATTCTTTAATAATTACAATTCGTTATATTCTTTATGTATCTTTATTATTGTTTATTAAAACAATAAAATATTAAAATATTAAAATATTATTAAATTAAAATAATAACAATAACAATAATAAATAATAATGAGAGTTAAAAATTTTAGAAAAATTGATCCTTTATTTAATATTAATTTTTTTTAAGTTCTTCAATATTCAATAGCAAATATTCATGTAAAAGAGAAAAAAAATTGTTTCTTTCACTTTTAGCCTTCGGCACAAACCACAAGTCAACCTGCATTTAACCCGCATATGAGATGCATAATCGCCAATATTGCAAAGATTGCGGTACTTTGGACAATCGGCATGCTCATCAAGACAGTTTTCCAGTATCTGGCGATGCAACTGTACATAGGACTATATTTTAACAGTTCTGATATAACTCTAGGAGTAGACGATTCAGTGGTTTGCCTGACGCCAATTATTCGATTATAATTTCATTGATGAGAGCAAACCAATCACCGAAAGCTAATTCTTAAAATTGCCTAATATCCTAATATCTTATTTTAATCTTTATTATATTAATAATCGGTGAAGAAAAGAAGAATGGCATTTGAAGAAATTTTTACGCAGTACAGCACTTTTCATTTCTTCATAAGAATAAATAAATTTCTATCAGTTTTTTGTAAAAATTAAAATATTTTAAAAATAAATTTTGGATTATAAAAATATCGCTCTATATGTGGATTATGCGAATTCTTAGAATTTGTCGCTAAAAGCAACAGTTTTTAGAATTTTGGTGCTTTCTAAATATTTTTTATAACCAATTATTGCTGAGGTTGAATTCCTTCGTTCTGTAGCATATTGTGTAGAACGCATGGATAAAATTCTTCAGCAAATCCCATCAACCATGCATCGTAACATTTTCCGTTTATATTATAGAATGTTACGCTAGAAGTAAAACGTTATTTTATTGATCGCTTATCATTTTTCTTATCACTTATTATAAGATTTCACATCTTTTTTTTAATATAAATATTTAATACATTTTTAATATTTTTAATTTAATATAATAATATTTTTAATATAATATTTAGTATAATAATTATAGTATTTTTAATATAAATTTTTAATATAAAAATTTATACTATATTTATAAATTTATATTAAAAATTTATAAAATATAAAATTTAATGTAAATAAAAATTTATTAATATATACAATATAAAAATATAAAAATTTAAATAAAATTTAATATAAATGAATAAATGAAAAAAAGTAAAAAAACTGAGAAAAAAATGAAAATTTCATATCATAATATATACCAATGGAAACCGAAAAACCAAAAATGGTCAATGCTATTGTAGGAATATTAAGTCGTTTATGAAGTGCAGAAGGCTTTTCCTCTTCAATTTTTAAAGAGTGAATTTTTTAAAATTTTAACTTATAAAATTATCTTCTGCGAAATAAAAGAATCTCTTAGAAAAGAAGGGTTTTTAAAATTTTAGGCATATTGCTTATATTAATGAGTGCTTTTTTGCAAAAAGTACCACATTTTAAAGACTTTACGTGAATGCATTTATGTTTTTTATATCCAATTAATATTCAGTGTTAATTGCATTATGATTTATCAGTGACTTATTTGTTAATGATTTATCAGTGACTTATTTGCTTGATTTATCAGCTGAACACGTGAGAAGCATGTTTTTTGGCATATTTTTCTGATATTGCTGATATTGCTGTCAGTACGGAACGTTTGCATATTTTAATGGAATCTGAGTATATTCCACCAGCTCCAGGCATACGACAAAATTCATAATTTTATTTCTGAATTGCATCAGCGATATTATCCAATTCGAATATGGATGAATCCAGATCGAAGCACTTCGGTGAATAAACGAGCATTGCTACACCTATGGGAGCAGATTTATTACAAACTTTAACCATCACATTGTCCTCCAACCTTTATATCGTATACGATATACGATATGGAAAGAAAAAAAGAACCTCACAAACGAAATGTTATCAACAACGAAATTAACGAAATGATAGTGTAGAGCACTTATATTATATCATTTCTTGTGATAAGAAAACGTGCAAATATCCCTCTTCGAGTTCCACAAATTTTTTTAAATAGTCGCATTTCAGCCGTAAGAAATTTTCTGCCAAAAAATTAAAGAAAATTTTTTTTGTCGTTTTTCCCTTTTTCATAGAAAATCAATTTTAATTCTAATTTCAAAATTCTCGAAACGAAGTTTTTAATTTTTTTATTTTGGGATATTTTAAATAAAAAACTTTTTAGATGCCTTTCGCGAATATAAATCCGCGCAAAAAAAGTAACGACATATCAGCATTGTTGGTGAGAACGAACGATCTAAGTGGTGCGATTGAAGGACGATTCTCTAGAAAATGATTCTTTTTATCAATTCAATTCACCAATGGTATCTTTTCGACTCAGAAAATTTTTTTCTACGAATGTAATTCACATTTACTAAAATTTTTCTAATTTAATTTGGCAAATTTTTTAATAAAAAATTTATTGTACTATTTAATATGAATTATAGGGTAGTAATATATATTTTATATTATTTTTAAAATTAGAGAGTTCTTTTTTGAATGAAATTTATCACATTCATTTCCGATTTATTTTATAATGGTTTATTTGCTCTAAAATCATTTCCACAATTCAAATCGTTTCGTTACTATTAGAAATTTTTGATAAGACGAAATAGATAATTTGTTGTGAAAAATTTTTAAATTCCACAAAAATTCCAAATTTTTTTTTTTTTTTCAATGCATAAATAATTTTGCATCGCATTCGTCTTTTTTTTATATTTTAATAATTTTATTTGCATTTTTTACTAGAAATTTTTTTCTTCATCGATTTGCATCCATTAAAAAATAGCTATTAATTTCTACAAAATGCTATCATTATTATCATTTTGACTGATAATAAGATGGAAACCACGAGAGGAAGAGAGAATAAGAATAATTTTCAAATAATTTTTCGATGAGGTTTGATGGCGGCAGCTCACATGCACTTCTAGCGCGAATGAATTTTCTGGCATGTTTTTTCCACAAGCGAGGGGAATGCAGTAATGCTGAACGCTTTTAAAAAAAAACCTAAAAAATGGCTTTTCTATGCCTCGGAGGTAGAAATAAGAATATAAATTAGTCGTGGGATTAGCTAAACTTTCAAAGAAACAGATTTATTCTTGCCAACATCCCAACACGGTTGTACGATAGGAACAAAAACCCACTAAGCCAACCAACGATTGGAAAAAATTGATAAGGAAAATAAATTTGAGAAAAAAAAAACGAATTGAACTCAGAAATTTAATGCGAAAATTTTTATTTTATTTAATTAAATTAAATTACTTTTTACTATTAAAAATTACTATTAAAAATATTTTAATCGTTCAATTAGTAAAAAAATTTCAATTATTTCAATTGTTTTTTTTAAAATTTGCTAAAAAAAATTAAAATACAATTTTTTTAATTTAAAAATTCTTTTAAATATATTCAATTTTTCATTTTCTCAAATTTTCATAATAATTCATTGAAATTTTTCAAAAAAATTTTCTTTATTGATTTAACGATAAATATGCTTTTAAACATTTTATTTAATATTATTAACATTATAGATTAGCAAATATTTACAAAAAACAAAAAAAGCATGGCAGCAAATGTTTGTATATATCTATGTATATTACTAATAATAATAATATTAATAAAAATAATAATATTAATAATAAGTCTAAGAAGAATAAAAGAACATTAAATATTTTTCATTTTTTCAAATTCGAAGGCAAATAAAAAATTTTAAAAAATTTTGCAAATCGCTGAAAGAATTTAGAAAAGATCAATTGAAAATATTTCATTTATTTGTATTGATAAAAATAAAAAAAATAGTCAGTACAATTTGTGATAATGAAATAATTTTTTTTTTTTTTTGATATTCGCGACAATCTCGATGAATAAATTTTTCGTGAGCTTTCTTATATTCGATTCTAAAAAAAAAAAAATTATCAGTTAAACATTCAATATAGAAATATAGCAAATAATATTATATTAGAAATATTAGAAATAACATTAATATAATAATTTCAAAAATCATACTTCATTATATATTTCAGGCTCGGCCAAAGGAGCCTGAGGCAAGAGAATATATCCAGGTGCATTATTTGTAAACCTTGGAGTCTTGATTGGCGATGAAGTTTTAACCACATCATAATGTACTGGTGATGCTAATGCATTTTTAAATCTCTAAAAATTCATGTTTCTTTTTTGAATTGAGAAAGAGAAGAGGAAAAAAGAAGCGTTATGAATAAACCTGCCACTTCGTAACACCAGGTCCTTTTAAACACGTTTTACATATTGTATATTGCATAAAAAGTGGAATAGGCAAAAGTGGTATTAAAGCGATAATCCAGCCAACCATTTCCGAATATTTCCATTCATGCACACCAGACGTATATAAAGAATAATCGTAGTTCAGCAAATTTACAGCAGCAATAAACTGCAAATTAATTTATCGCTTCAATATATTATCGCTAAATTTTAATTAGTATTCAAATATATATTTTTATAAATATTTTAATAAATATAAATAAATAAATAATAAATATTTAATATTTAATAAATATTTTTATAATAAAATATATATTTTTAAAATATATAAAATATATATAAAATATATATTTAATATATAAAATATATGTTTTAAAATATATATTTTTTTAAAATTGAATAAAATTACAGGAAATTTTATTCAGAGCCCAATTGAAGCCCTAAAATAAAAACATATGGTACCAATCTTTTCACTCTTATAAACCGCAATGAACGAAGAAGAATTACATTGGGTTTGATAAATTTTTAAAAAATAAAAAAAGTAGCAACGTACCGCAGGGACGGCCGGAAGTAAATATATGAAAAATAAAAGGAAATGACCGAAACACCATGAACATGCATTGGATAGCATTATGTGTAGATCTTTGCCAAGTCTATGCGCACCTAAAAATTAATACTATCGTCTTAGCAAATAATCTAAAGTACTACAAAGTATCTAAAGTACCAAATAAAAAAATTCGACAAAATTCTTTGGAAATAAATAATTTAGTAGATCACAAACAATAAATCGTTCCTCTGGCTTATTGGACCAGAAAAATTCCGCTAGAGAGTTTATTTGGTAATAAAAGCGGGACTGCAGTATCACCCAGATTTTTGAGAAACATATTCATTCCTATGGGGATTAGAATTTCAGCGATGGGTCTCTGAGATAATAACAACGACCTATTGAGCCATTTTATTCCTAATTGTAAATATTTGCTGCACATATATTTCCGAACTGTTTTAAAAATTAAATTATTTTAAAGAACAAAAACTTACAATAGAACCACCCGACGGCAAGAAGTTCAAAAAACAATATCGTCCATAATGTGACATATTTCCAAAAGCCACCAGCAAGTTCATAGGCATAAAAACCTCCCTTAAAAATATAAATGTAAAGAAATTAATTTAAATAAATGTCATCAGCATACCAGTATTCAAGCTCATAAAACAATTAGTTCTTTTATTTAACCTAAATGGCCTGATTGTTCAGTTGTTTTTCCTATTTGCCTTTCGTTAGGCTTATAAAAATTCTCACAATATTGCATGATTTCGTTAAAAAAAAAATGGCTCTAAATGTAGTCAAACACCATGTTTTTGATTCTCCTTATCTATTGACAGGAAAAAAAAATCTAATTTTAAGATGATTCCATAACAATTTCATTCGCAATATTTTCAATATTATAATAAAAAAAAAAACTAAAGAAATCATGGAAGATTTTGTAGATTCAGCTGGAGAAAAGATAACCGAATGGATAATATGAAATATTATCATACTGAAAATCAAAATTCTCCTCCAGTTTCTGCTAAACTTAACATTTAAAAAATGAGGACCACTTTGCATTTCTATCGCCAAGTTCATAGCAAAATCAAATTTTCAAAATTCAAAACAAATTTAGTTTAGAAATTAGTAAAATTCAAAACAAATTTAGTTTAGAAATGGTACCAATTACTTGATTTTACTCAATTAAATTTTTCTTATTTAAATATATTTCAATTATAAAAAACCAACGAAAACTAAAAACTACAAAAAAACATACTTAATTTTTATATTTTTTAGAATAAGGATAGAAATAACAATTACTATCTATGGAGTTACAAATGTTTCCACTTCCTCTATTCTTGTAAATTTTAATGCACATAAAATCAGTTCGGCATATCGCCAACTGTTTTAAATTTGGCCAGTCAAATGGTACTCCGATATTCTATAGAGATATGATTCGTTTTTAGACATAGACATCTCTACATCTCATTCAAGAAGAATCTCACATCTTTAAATTAAATTCACCATAAATTGAACAAATAAACTAAATTCGCATGCACTTGTATTTGTACCTTCGAAATCGAAATGAACATTATATATTTTACATAGTAGTGGAACTTCCATAAAAAAAAAGATTGTCGAAGAATCACTATTTACTATACTATATTGTATTGTTGAAAGTACCTTAACTATAGTGCTAAGATACTACTTTGAAGTACCAGCTAAGGTACTACTTATCCTAAAATTTAGTACTTAACTATTTAGTATCCTAATTGAGACGATTTTTAACGACTATTTATTATATTACAGGCTTTACGATTCAATCATTTTTCGATTATCATCTTTTCAAAGCCTTCTTCGTACTCATTTCTTGATTACTAATATCAATATTAATATTAATATTTTAATATTTAATATTAAATATTAATACTGCTATTATTACTGTCACATTTTAATCATAGAAATCAGTCGTAATCAAAATCCAAAGGCAAACTATGCTATATTGTATTGTTAAAAGTACCTTAACTATAGTGCTAAGGTACTACTTTTAAGTACCAGCTAGGGCACAACTTTTTTTTAGCCATTGACAAGACTTTTATGAAACAGCGAAAAAAATCGACGGATGCCCATCAAAATCGAGGATTTATGAAAATTTTCCTTTATCTTTATTGTGAGTTCCTTCGTTTTATCATTACTTTATTTATCGAAAGAATTATAATTCATCAAATTTATATTTGTATAAAACTAATGAAATGAAAATAAAAATCGTCTATGACGCCCATTAAGTTCCACTGTTCTCAACTAATCTAAAAATCAATTTCTCGTTGCCCAATATCAACTGGCAGAAACTTAGAAATAGACAAACTTTTAAAATTAAAAAAAAATTTGCAGACTCCAAAAATTATTATCTATTATTTGCTTCCACAATTTGTGGATAAAGACTGGCATTAAATCTTTTGAAAAGAAGCTATTATTTTTTTTTTAGAGTCCTCAGCGTTATTGGTTGAACTCGCTCCACGTGGCTTGTCGCGTTAAGCAATATGCTAGGGACTCCCTTGGCGATAGAAGTACAGGTGAATCGCCAACATCACCTGGACTTTTGAACAGATTTACTCCTGTGGGGAACCTCAGCAACGGCGCTCCCACAACAACTCACTGAGAGCTCATGTATGCAAATGAAAACAAATAAATCTTCGACCTTAGTAAATCGTGAAAATATCTAAACATTTAAATGAATAATTAATGAAATAAAATTGTGAAAATATATAATTCACCTGAGTCGCAAAATATAAACCACAAGCAAAACCCAAGCTACAAACGATGAAGGAGAGAAAAAAACGAGGAAAGCATTTCGACCATCGTTCACCGCACGCATCTTCGAAACTAGCCAATATATTTAATGATAATAAATACTGCAAATTTAAAATATTTAGATATTTTCTATAGTAATGAATTTGATAAAATTCTGATTTATTGATAAAATTGATATCGCTTATCACAAATTTCTCTGAACAAACAATTATATACTAACGAAGATATTAAGAAGTACAAAAATCGACATGAAGAGAACAATAGATGTCCATATTCTCGTATCAGATAAATAAGACATATATGCTAATATATGCCACATTTGCGTTTCTCCTAAAAAAAACTTTCATGAACACTAAACAGGAAGAATTTATTCGAAATTAATTTTCATATTAGAAGAATTTTTTAAGGACTGTAAGGCGAATTTTCTATTGCCATTACATTACCATTTAAATAAATATACTAAAAAATATACTAAAATATACTAAAAATGATATTTAGGCTAAAACCTCTGTCAAGAAGATGGATGGGATGAAGACCAGTACGAGCACTGATATGTCCAACAAGACCAATGATAGTCATCACTTGCATAAATGTCAATATCAAATGTCCAAATGTTATTAAAAGACAATCTCTTAAAACACATTAGCACTAATATTAATTCGAAATTAGGAAAAAATGGAAAAAATCAATCAATTTAAATATTAATTAATTAATTAAAATATTAATTTTATTACATTAATATATTAAATTAATATAAATATTGATTTAAATCAATTTAAATTTTTCGGGTTTTGACGGGACTTTTGACGGGCTTTATGGTTCTATTCGGTTCGCCTGATAAGAAATAAATGAGAAGGAAATTTAAAGTGATATATTCATTTGCGATCCATCTTTATCTATCATATGACATTAAATGGAGCTGCTTGAATGATATGGTAATATGGTTTTTTCGAGCCCATATTTTCGATTCATTACTCTGGCAAGAATGAAGCTGCCATTTAACAATTCTAGTAGTGTTCCCATCTCATATTTCTTTCTCAGACTGGCAAAAAAATTTTTAGCCATACTAACAACAAACGAAGCTAACATCTAACCAGAAATGATGAGCGCTTAATAAAATCTCAAATTATGCAATCAGTTGAATCAAAAATGAAAAACTCGAAAATAGGCTGGAAAATCTCAAAAATAGTTCCCCATATTCATATTGAAGATTTATTATTATATGGAAATTATTAAATTTTATTCATTCTATATGAATATTTTATTTTACCCGACAAGATTATTGGAACGTTTATTATAAGATGCAATAGTAATAAATACACCAAATCCAACACCACTAGCTAAAATTGCTTGTTCACTTGCCGTCTTCCATAGCTGAAAATTAAATATTCTCCTAAAAGTTTTCTTTTAAAGGGAAATTTTAAAATCTTAATAAAATTTCTAATAATTTGAAATTGTAAGCAATTTATTAAAAAAAAAATGAATATATATACCATATGAGAACAGGATGACTCAGTGGGTTATCGCTCGATTGGGAGCGCAGATGCTGAGGTTCGATTCTCCGCAGGAATAAACCTGTACAAAAATCCGAGTGATACTGGCGACTTACCTGTATGTCTATCGCCAAGGGACTCTTTGGCACATTTGTCCAATGTGATAAGCCAGTGGAGCGAATTTAACCAGTAGTGGTGAGGACTCTTTAAAAAATATATATATATATACCATATAATCTGCCATTCTATTCCAATTCGTTGCTAAATAGAATTTTTTAAGAACTTCGATAAGACCACGAAGAGTGAGTGCTCGAACCATAAGTAATGAAAGTAATACAACCGGCATTATAAAAGTAAAATGAACGATCTAAAATATTAAAGTAATTATTTAATAATTTAATAAAATATATAATAAATATTCTCTTCTCTTAAAATTGATTCAATTAATTCGTAATTACGAAAAATAATAAAATAATAAAAAATAATAGAATAAAATTTGCCCTAAAATTAAATTAATTAAATAATGCGAAAAATATTTTTGATAAAAATTTTTTTTGAACAAAAAATTTCTTAAAAAAATTTATTTGATAGTAGAATGGCTCAGTGGATCTTATCTCAAAAATCAAAGTTAAATTTTCACTCCCGTTGGGAATAAACCTGTTTTTCAAAAAACCGCGCGGTACTGCTCACTCATCTATCGTCAAGTAATTTAATTCTCTATCCAAAATTTGCTCAGTCCGATAACCAGCGAGCCTAATCAGATATGATAAATATTTTAATATATATATATATTTGTAAAATACCTTCCCAAGCCAACGTATTCCAAAACAAATAGATATAAAAACAATAATCCAAACAACAGCCATAGACGATAGTATGTAAAGTTGAAAATGCCCGATTTCCGAGATATTATCAGAAGGCCGTTCTAGAATTCTGCAAAAATTCACCTGAGCAATATTATTATAATTATTAGCCACACTTGAGTCTTCACGAAATACTCTTCGTTCATAATTAAGCCTAAGCCAAAATTTTTTTAAATGCAACGATTATTTTAGAAAAGTGCATAGGAAATAGGCTAACAGTTTTGATAGTAGTAAATATATCATGGAAGTCCAAGTGCGCTTATTTTTATTCCCACATGGCTGGCGAGAGAATAGAATCTCTTAGCACTCTCTTTAGTATTAAGCAGAGCCAAGTAAATCAGAGTTGATAAATTTTGAAAAAAAAACAGTTACATTTTAATCAAGGAAATAAAACAATTACGTCATAAACTGAATAAGCGATGATTGAGCACTAATTGTGTTAAGTTTTGTTGTGGAGATATGTGTAAAATTTGATAATGTCCCCGCTTCCCTGCATGGTACTGTGTGCAATTCTGGATAACCTTTGCAGTTCAACCATGGTAGACCTATTATTGTAGTTTTAATCAAATTTAGTTGAAAATAAATAAATTTTTTTTTTAACTTCAAATATGCAAATATATCATCAATAATCTAAAATTAAAAAATGGTGCAAGATGGTGCGTCATTAACAATTATCTGGCCACCAAGGATCGATGCCTAGCTTGGAATCTCACAATGCACCATCCATCGGTACTGTCGCCCAATGGAGAAGAATAAAGGAGAATAGAAACGGTTCAGTGGATTGTTGCTCAATTGTGATGCTGAGGTTCGATTCATCACAGAAGTAAACCTGGACAAAAATCTGGATGATACTGGCGATTCCCTTGTACTTCTATCGCCAACCAGCCCCTCTGGCATATTTGTTCTAGTTCTATTAGGTAGCAGAGCGAGTCTAACCAGTAATGGGAAATGCTCACAAAAAAAAAACAACATAAAATGATGGATAAATTTAATCACTAGTCTACGCTAAAAGTCACATCATTTCATGTGCCAGAATGCTGAAAGCAATAATTTTACTGGATTAAAATCCGACCTACACTGATATCACTGACATCACTGATCACTGATAATTTATAAAAGAGACCTTACCAGGTCGATCAACTAGTATAGTCCAAAACAAATGGAATAAATAAAGCATAAGCCATCCAAGATAACGCGCCATATGAGACAACATAAGTAATGAAAATATTATTTGTGATATTCCAACACCTGAATTTTTATCAATTAAAATACTCACTATTGATAAATATATTGATAGAAATGAGAATATAAAAAAAAAAACTCTTTTTAACCTCTAAATATTGGACACATATTATAAATAGCTTGAATGGGAGCTTTTCCAGTAAGTTGTCCGACAGCGAATTCAAGAATGAGAATTGGAAGAATGCATAGAAATATCGATGTACAATAGGCAACAATAAAAGCTACTGAAATTTTTGATATTAATCATTGAAATAATGCTTAAACCAAGAGGAAAAAAATGGTTATCAAGCTTTGATTTTAGTACTAATTTTAATAATAAACTCTCATTTAAAATTCTAATTTTAAAAATATAATAATAAAAATAATAATAATAAAAGAAATAAAAATAAAACTATTTTCACATAATCATATGTCGATAGCTCAATGGCGAAATAATTGCCATCGATAACCGAGATATGACGGATTCGAATCCGTCGATGCACCACTCTTCATCATCGGCTAACTTGTCTTGTCGCATAACGAAAAGAAAAGATTATAGAACGGCTCTAGAAGTGGCTGCTGAGCCCTTATCCTGAGATTCTACTCCCGGAATGAGTAAACCGTCCAAAAATAAATCAGGATGATGTTGACACTGATTCATCCATATTTCTATCGCCAAGAGACACTCTGGTATATTTGTCTAGTGCGATAAGTCAGCCAAGCGAATTTAACCCAGTAATATTGAGAGCTCTCAAAAAAAAATCTTGGAAAAATTAAATGAGATCTAAATTTTCATTTATTCGATTTCGAAATCACGAAATCGAATTCACGTTAACTATTCACGTATGCAGCAATTTACGTTGGCTATTCACGTATTTGGCAATTCACGTTAGCCATTCACATATTTGGCAGTTCACGTTAATTATTCATGTATTTAGCGATTCACGTTAGCCATTCATGTATTTGGCAATTCACGTTAGCCATTCACATATTTGGCATTTCACGTTGGCTATTCGCGTATTTAGCAATTCACATTGACTACTCACATTGGCTATCCACGTATTCATTGAAAGGAAAGAATTTGAATAAAAAATAAAATAAAACTAACATCCGCCATTTTCAAGTATCAACCTTGTTAAATTCAAAAAATTTGTCGTAGCGAATACATACGAAAGCGACGCAACAATCATATCCACTTTAATCGACCATAAATCACGCCATTCCTCGGATAATAACGTTGGCATTTTAAAATTCGACCAACTTCGTTCCTCAAACCACATATTCGTTTAATTCTCCACTTCTGTACGATATTATTCGATTTTAATTTTCAATTTTAAATTATCGTTTTTAAAATTTTAATTTTTAAAATTTTAAAAAATAAATAAATAAACAAATAAATAAATAAGTAAATAAAACAAATAATAAATAATCGAAAATAATTTCACAAAAATTGCTTTAATTTTATTAATAATTCTAATTTTAGGTGCAAAATTTTTTAAAACAAATAATTAAATCGATTATATTTATTTTTTATTAATATTTATCTATTTTTATATTTATTTTTTCTTAGATAATTTTTATTTCCATTCTTAGACAAATTTCCATTCTTTAATTCAGATTTATGGATATCTCATTTGTTTTGTGTTGCATTTTTTTTTTACCGCACTTTTGCCTTGGCCACAATTATCTATTAGGAAATTGCGAAGGATTGCATGACTGATATTGGATGTTTCAATGAATTAATGAAGTGGGGAGGAGGAGGAGGAGGGGGAGTATTGATGAAATTTGCGAAGATTGATAAGTATTTGGTAAATATATGAAAATAATTGAGAAAAATAAATATTTTAACGAAATATTATGGGATTTTGAGAAATATCAAAAAATTGAAATTTCTAATTCGATTCATATGATATTGATATTTTTATCAGTTAGTGATAAAATAAGATGGAAAAAGATAAAGGATATATTTTCCATTGAAGAAAAAAAAATCAAAAAATATGGCTATTTAAAATTAAATTAATTAATTAATCATTTTTTTAATGAAAAACACAACAACAAAGCAATTTTTTCTATGCAAAATATTGTAAATTTTTATAAATCAGCATATTTCACGATATTTTTTTTTTTAAAGAGTTCTCACCATTACTGGTTAAACTCGCTTCACTTGTTTGTCGTATTTGAGCAATATGCCAGGGAGTCCCTTGGCGATAGAAATACAAGTGAGTCGCCAGAATCACCCGGATTTTTATGTAGGTTTACTCCTGCGGGAATCGAACCTCAGCATCGCGCTCCCAACTGAGCAACAACGCACTGAACTATTCTATCCCCAAGCTATTTCACGATATTAATTTTATGTATATTTTATTTATTTATTTATTTATTTTGCATAAATTTTACATTTATTCATAAATTCAGTAATATGAATTATTATTGAGGATTTTTAAAAGACAACAAAACACCAAAAATTTTCTCCATCTAATCGACTATTTTACTAAATTTATTTATTTATTTATTTAATAATTTTATTTTTATTTATATTACATTTATTTATTTAAAAAATAACTAAGCATCAAATTTTTTCCTTCTAATAAACTATTTCATTATTTATAATTTATTTATTTATTTATTCACTAAATTAAACCGATAAAATTTCCCATTGTTGAATACAGTTTTAATTCATTTATAATACAAAATGCGACGAATAAATAATAATAAAAATCGGTTTTGTGTAATGCGGTAAATTTTTCTAAAATAAATTCGTGCAAAACAAATGGCATGTGACACACAAACACACGCACACACACAAACGCACACACGTAATATAAAAATAATAAAAATTTATATTAATATTTAGCTTAAATTTTCGTAGATCCTAGCACCGATCCTATCTCTAAGCGAATCTCCAAATTCAATCATCATAGATCCGCGAAAATGACGAAAATAACTCGAAGAGCCTAGTAAAGCCAAAATTAAACAAAACTATCTATCTCATCCATAAAATATTTTCCTATTTATTTAAATTATTATTTAAATAATTATTTAAAAAACACGTATGGAAATATCATATAAAAAAAGAGAAGAGATAATAAATGAAATCATTACAAAACTATAATAAAATATTAAGAATAATTGATAATTTATTTTTATTATTATTAAGAACAATTTATTTTTATTATTACTAAGAATAATTGATATTTTATTTTTATTATTAAGAATAATTTTATTATTATTAAAAATTATTGATAATTTATTTTTATTTTTACTAAGAATAATTGATAAATTACTATTATATTATTTTTATTTTTATAATTAAGAATAATTTATTTTATTATTATTAAGAATAATTGATAATTTACTATTATATTATTAAGAAAAATTGATAATTCATTTTTATTATTAAAAATAATTAACGAATAAATCAAAAAAAAATTGACAAAAATAATATTTCTTTTAGATTAATAAAAATTTTTGCAACAAATAAAAAAAAAAAATTAAAAAAATTTTTTAAAAAAATCTCTCGTATTAAATTGAATAAAAAATATTTCTTTATAAATTTATTAAATGAATAGTAATTTTAATAATTTTCATTTAAAGCAATTATAATAGTATAATTAAAATAAATTAGAAAAACTAAAATAAAATAAAATGTTACAAATATTATAATTTTTTGCAAATATTATATAAATAAAAATTACATATATATCCTATTATACATATTAAATATTAGATATAAAAATTTTAAATATTAAATATTAGATATAAAATAATAATTTTTATAATGATAAAAAATTACCATTCAATATTATCAAATATAAATTAAAAAATATTATATTATATTAAAACATTAAATGCATTAAAAAATAAAATATATTAAATTTTAATAATTTTATAAAATATTATGTACATTAAATATTATTAAATAAATATATTAAAACATTATATATATATAAAATCAATAAATAATAAAAAAACGACAGAATATATAACACAAAACACTGCATTTACGACATATATAACCATACACCGAGTTACATGCACCGAGAATGAGAAATTCATTCAACGTTCCTTCATTTAAAAAAAAAAAAAGAAATCGACGAAAAAATAAAGTTTCAATGCTAAGAAAAAAATTCCGAAAATCGACTACTATTATCTTATATAAAATTTGGTGAAAGGTGAATGCTTAGCAACAAAAATTTTTTTACTCGTGGTGAATTCTTCAACAACGATGAATCCTTGAATCTAAAATCCTATTGGTGAACCTATAAAATATTTTTTCTAGCCAATAAGCTAAATTTTTTTTTACGTGAATTTGATATGTATGTGATATGATATGAGAAATCTATTGCTTTAGAATGACATATCCAAGTTAGCAATTTATTTTTTTCTCAATAAGTTTTTAAGTGGTACCATGGAAATCTAGTAAATGAATTATACCACGACAATAATAATAGGTTTTTAAGTGGTACCATGGAAATATAGTAAATGAATTGTACCACGAAAATAATAATAGGTTTTTAAGTGGTACCATGGAAATATAGTAAATGAATTGTACCACGAAAATAATAATAGGTTTTTAAGTGGTACCATGGAATATCTAGTAAATGAATTATAGTACAGCAGTGATGAAAGGTTTTTAAGTGGTACCATGGAAAATATAATAAATGAATTATACTACAACAATAACATTATGAAAAATGAACGAGAGTAATCAACCATAAAGCAACACGCGATGACAAATCGGCTAAAATTGCCGATGGCATTACTAAATCTTTGATCGGACTAGTAACTATCATAAAATTAAAGAAATAATATGTCATTCATTTAAATCCACATATCAACTATCGTTCGATTATTCCTCGTAACATTCTTTTACTTTAGCATATTTATTTACTAACAACACGATGAACTTCTCGCCTGTTCCCAGTTAGAGTGCCGAATACGACAGCTGTGAGAGTAGTAGTAGTAATAGTAGTAATATACTTTAGACAGATAAGTGGTGATTTTTTAATTCTTCAATGATGATTATTTGCAAAAGGTGGAGCCTTCTTTCCTTGGTACCATAGAAATTATAATGGTACTACAAGGCAAAAGAAAACAAAAAAAAAAATTCGATATGCCTATATTTAATAAGTAAGTCACAATTTCAATATAAAATAATATTATATATTTATTGTTGATTTAAAGCAATAATTTAAATTATTTATTATAATTTAAAATTAAAATTAAAATATTAAAATTTAAAATAATTTAAAATTTATTTAAATTATTTATTCCTTTATTCTTTCTTAAATATTATTTAACTCAATAAAAATACTATAAAAATTAATTAAATATAAAAATAAATAAATAAAGATCGAATAATTTTGCGATGAAATTTGCCAAACTTCGAACGTTTGCAGTCGTTATTGACGAGATTTAATAGCTCAAATGATTCGATGATTGTTAGAAAAAAAGCAAAATAAATATATTTGCAGGATTTGAACTGCAATTATTATTTTACTAGTAAATCATCACATCGTTACTACTCAATTAGTAGTAATTTAAAAGATTTTTTAAAAAAATTGAATAAATAAATAAATAAATAAACAAATAAATAAATAAACAAATAATGAATAAAGCCATACTTTGATTTCAAAATAATCAACTGTGATCAACATTTATCAAATATTTTTAGTGATAAGATCATAATTAAGTCAATATTTATATAATACATAATTATATTTATTATATTTTGTATTTGTGAAAATTATCATTTATCACACGTAAAAATTATCAACAGCAATAACAATGATAATATTTAATAAGAATTAAAAAGCCATAAAAATTTGCATAAAATCGTTTTATTCGATTAATAGTATCACTACGTTTGCTTAATCTCATCTATCGATAACCATCGATTTATAATTGCTCATTTGTTGGTTTTTAGAGAAAAGCAAAATAAATAAACTTGCGGAATTTACGCAGATTAAATGATTGATATATTTTATATAAGCAAAAATAAAATCGATCCAAATTTATAAAATATAAAAAATATCTTGTTTATAAATTTTATAAATACAATAAGAAGGTTGATATAATAAATGTCATTATTATCATTATCACTTTATTATCACTAATTTTAGATCAGCTCATATCAGTTAGCTCATCTATATGATCCATATATATATATATATATATATATATATATATACATAATTTATAATAATGGATATGCAGGGATAAGACGTGGCTGAAGGGAGGGGAGAAGGGAGACGGGGGGAAAGGGAGGTGAAACATTATT